CAGGAAGCGAAGGCAGAAAGTCAACTAGGAAGCCTTGCTTAGTGGCAGGGAGGGTCCTTGGTTTTTGGGTCTCTACCTCTGCCTTCCAATCCTTATTTCTGCTGTCCTGCTCTTAGTCCTGAGTTTTCTTCTAAGGCTAGGCTATGGTGGCCTTCAGCTTGGACCAGCTGACCAGGGTTAGAGGGTGGCAGCTTTCTAATTCCTTGTGGGAGGCTAGAGTTCTCGAGACTCTACAAGGGAAGGGCTGGAGGGTTGCTGACCCCTGGGGGCAGGATGGAGGAGGGCCTTCCACCAGGCAGAGATGAGGTATGGGAGTCACACTGATGCGCCCTGGAGAGACCCCTCAGGTTGGGACAAGGTTAACACAGATCGCTTCATACATTTTTGTTTGGACTGTTTGGCACTTTTGTTTCTTAGTGTGCAACATCAAATTTGAAGGTTTAAAAATAAAATCCAAATATTAAGCATGCTAGCAGGGCAGGAGGTGGGATCCTTCTTTCAGAACTCACTCTGACTTCAACAGATCTTATTTTGAAGAGGCAGTTAGTTAGGCTGGGTTATTCTGCTGGGCTCATTACTGCCATTTAAATAAGGCAACAATTAGCTACAAATAAAAGTAATTACAGCCACACTCATCAGTGACTCAGCTGATTTTCTCCTTCTGGCGTTGGGAGGCAGATTCATACTCGTCTCTGCAATTAGAACATTTCCTAGGCCTCCACTTGAGCTAGGGCCACATGCTCAGCTGGGGCCAGAGAGTAGAAAATGATAGCTAGCCCCGGGGCAGCAGCTCAACACTCAATAAAAAGGCAGGAGGGCTGGGATGTGGGTCAGTGGTGGAGCGCCTACCTAGCATGCTCAGATCCTTGAGTTCCACCTCAGCATTGCAAAACAATCAAGGAATGGGCATAGAACCAGGGTTTTGAAAACTCTAGAAACCCCTGGGAGTTGGTAAGGTAAGCATGCCCTACCCCACTATATTGAGTTTTATAAGCCAAGATCTGAGAGCATGAGATGGCAAATAAACTTCAGTTCAAGAATATTTAAACTTTTCTAGAATTTTCTCCAACTTACAGTTGAACATACCTTCAGTGTCAACTGAAAACCCTTAACCCAGTGGCTCTCAACCTTCCTAATGCTGTGACCCTTCTTCATGTTATGGTGACCCCCAACTATACAATTATTTTCGTTGCTACTTCATAACTGCAATTTTGCCACTGTTATGAATCATAATGTAAATGTTTGATATGCAGGTATGATAAATGATATGCAACCCCTATAAAAGGATTGTCTGGCCCCTTCCCAAATAGTTTGTGACACACAGGTTGAGAACTACTGCCTTAGCCTTTACTCAAACCTTCAGAAGTCAGGGATGAGGGTTGTGGCGGTTTGGTGCTGGAATGTTTGCTTAGCATGTGGGAGGTCCTCAGTTCCATGTCCAAAACTGCGCGTGACCTTACACACGTGCGAGCGTGCACACACAGACACAGACGTGCACACACATAGACACCCTAAACATAAGTGTGGACGAGGTGGGAGCATGGGTAAGGCCACAAGAGAACTTGGAGGACACAGGGAGGGGAGCGATGTCAACACAGATTTACCGCACACTTGAAGGAATGCAAACTGTTGGACACAGCCTGGCCCACAGGAAAGAACTACAAAAGAAAAAGAACAGACTCAGTCACGTGCAGTGACATCAAGAGAGGCAACCAGTTATTGTGAAGACACAGCAGCGTGAGAAGCAGAGACTGAAGACAGACGCGGCCCAGCGAGGCTCTGATTAAGCAGCAGTGACAGATGCAGGCCCACTGCTCCCTTGCAGCCCAGCTTGGCTCTAAATAGCAAGTATTACCAGCTTCCTTTCCTTTGTGGAGCAGGCCTAAGCAAACTAGGACACACGTTCCAAAGTCACAGCCATGCTAATGTCTTATGTTGCACTGTCAACAACCGTAGAGGTCAAAATATTCCTAGCTTTCACTAACACCTGTCTTCTGACGGATATCCCGAGATTATTGTTAAATGTACGTGGAGAGCAGGCTGATGACCTTGGACCATAAACATCTCTCCTCATCTAAGAATCTAGATGGCACCCTGAATCTGCATACTGGTCTGTGGTATGCTTGCAAACATGAGTAGACACAACACCATGACACCTGTTAAATTTTCACCAGCAAACACTCGTCTTGATATGAGTAGTCAGCTACAAAACTGGTACTGGCTGACTGAATATAAATACAACAAAGAAGGAAGGTAATCATTTCACCCCCATCACAGGCAAGGGCAGCACCAAATGGAAGAAGCCACCCACATTCACCCAGGATCAGGCTTTTGAGCTGTGGGTAGCCAGAGGGACGGTGCCACCGAGTGGCTGACAAAGGAAGATGTTTGCAGAATCATTTCCTCAGAAGGAGCATAAATAAGACACTCTGGAGGGTCTGTGCTCTGAGGAAACATGCAGCCTGCACTATGTGCCATCATACATGTACTTTCTCTGGTCACAGAAACATGGTAAATCATTAGAAATAAGAATCCAAAGCGGCAGTGTGCAGCTGCAGTCCCACCTATTAAGAAGCTGAGGCATGAGGATCCCTTTAGCCCAAGAGTTTGGGCACAGCCAGGGCTGCATGGAGGTTCCCATCTCAAAAAAAAATCTATAAATTAAAAAAATGCCCATTTTTTTTCTGAAGAGAAGAAGTACATCACAGGGTGATATACACAGAGTCCTAACATTTTTTTTCCTTCCGAGGCTAAATCTCCCCAGGTAGGCAAAGGGCAGGAGCCTTATTCTCTCTATTGATAAGATTACAGAGCACATTCCTCTTTCTGAACAGAAATGCTGGTGGAGACAGAGACTAGGCCATCTCTTTCACAAAGAACCTTTACAAAGGCTGAGTTTGATAAATGGAATTCTTTTGATCAGTACCATGCACTAACAAAATGAGCCACCCTAAATGATGGCTCCTAACTGGCCACACTAAATGGATTTTTTAAAGGCCCAGGGAAGGTCATCTCTCCTGCCTTCTCATCCTGCTCCCTGTCTCTGGAGATGGCTGCCTGAGCTACTGAGCCATTCCGCCACGCGCCCATCCACACTCTGTATCTGCAGCTTCCCTTTCCATGCTCAAGCCCGAAAGAGCATGTAGCGACCACAGAGAAGGACAGACAGAACAAGACACTTCACCTGCTCATCAGCACTAGCTCGCCTAGTCATCTGCAAGTAAAAACATCAGGAGGTGAAAGCCTGCTTCCAGTTAACGATGCTGCACTGCTCCCTCTGATAAGCCAGGGCAAGCTGCTCGCACCTCAGGGGCTGGCCTTTATTGCCTCACAGACCTAAGCCAGGGTGACTAGTGTATGAGCAGACTGTTCTCAGGGTGGGTGGTGGTCATCTCCTAGCTCAGTATCAGGCACATGAGGGCTGAAATGGTATTGAACTTTAGACCTGTGAGGGTCAGTTCCAAAGCTCTCTACTGTGAGTTAGAAAGCAGACAACTAAGGACGGTAGTAAATATAGGTATCATGATTATCCTAGTCCACATCCTCTTGGCTATTTCACATGAAGAACACATTTGGTAGAGAAATGGTTGTGTCTTTTGACATTATTCCACTTTTCTTAAAAAAATTATTTTTATCTTATGATATGAGTATTTGTCTCCATGTGCCTGCTGTCTGCAGAGGTAGAGGAGGGCATCAGAGCCCCTAGGAATGGATTCAGAGACAGCTAAAAGCTGTCATGTTGATGCTGGGAACTGAACCCAGTCCTCTCCAAGATCAGCCAGTGCTTTTAACTTTTGATCCATTTCTCCATCCTCATGACTACACAGAAACAAAGACGGACAAGGGGTTATTCTAGAATGTGCATGTACGACACACGAAGGCTAGCAATTGGTGGGCATGAGCACATGTGAATGCCTACAGGGTACCTTCCTGGGATACAGGGCTGTGTTCCCATTCCACAACTTCTACAAGGAGCACGTCAAAGCTTCATGCCCTTGTCTTTCTGAGGTGAGCCCTGGCAGAAGAACCATGTATACCCCTCCCTTATGGCTGCCATGCTAAGGCCTTCTTACCTGTTTCATCTCACTCCTTAGTCTGTTGATACCACTCCTCTCAGTCTTGGTGACACCAGTGTGACCCACCTCATGGATGGAGATGGCAGGGCTGGATGTGGAGGAGTGAATTGGGTGCACTGAAAGGGAAACACACAAATGAGGTTATTAGGGAATCTATCGCACCTGCTTTGAGAGAGTCACCATGGACAACATGCTTCTGAGGCCCGTACCTCTTCCCTACTTGACTGTAAACTTGATGAGAGGAACACCTAACTTGCCCCAAGCAGAACTGGGATTACAGTGCTGAAGGTAGGTAGCACAGGCTTACCATGAGGCCTGAAGGGCTGTGTGAAAGTGTGGTGTCTTAGTTAGGGTTTCTGTTGCTGTGAAGAGACACCATGACCATAGCAACTCTTATAAAGGAACACATTTAATTGGGATGGCAACTTACAGCTCAGACGGTCAGTCCATTACTATCATGGTGGGGAACATGGCAGGGAGCAGGCAGTCATGGTGCTGACTACATGTTGATCAAAAGGTTAACAGGAAGTGGCTTAAGCACTGAGTAAAGCTTAAGCAAGAGACCTCAAAGCCAGACCCAACAGTGACACATTTCCTTCAACAAGGCCACACCCATTTCAGCAAGGCCACACCCACTTCAACAAGGCCACACCTCTAGATTGTGCCACTCTGAGCTTCTGGGGGGCCAGTTACACTCAGACTCCCACATGTGGGTAGTGTTGAGCAGCAGGCACAGAACAGGGTGGCAGAAAACTGTTGGCTGACTGAAATGGTTTGGAAAACTATTTTTTTACTTACCCAAAACACATTTTCTTTGTGGAAAACTGAGACCACCCAAGGAAGCCAGAAGTAACATCTGTTGACATTTCACTCATTATCCTGCCAATTTTCCCCTCCGGATCCATGTTTTTACCTTATGCAATGTCACATATATGTACAAAGAAAAACTTTATATTATATACATGACATATCCATACACAATATGCAAACAAGCTTCATTGTTTCAGCAATTAATATTCTGTGAGTGTTCTTCCACAGCTTCACGCATTCTCTCGCATGTCTAATGACTGCATGACATCTGATCTCAGAGTGAGGCGCACACCTGATTCTATCTGTGATTTTCTAAAGAGTTCATCTTGACTAACGTGTAGGATCCATACTGACCTTGCCAAGCTCTCTATGCCAACTGTCCCTGGCAAAATGACAAAACTGCTGCATAGCCAACTGAAGGGCTTAGAACTTAGGTTCCTGTGGCTGTCGGCCAACTGCTGTGGTACCCTCATCAGGCCTTTTCTCGGCTTGGGTGCAGGTATGCATGCAGCAGCATCCAGGATGGACAGAAATCAGGGCACGGAGAAGATCTCAACCCAGGCCTCTGAGAGGAAGCAGGGGCTGAGCTGGCTAGAGAGCTCAGGGGTACAGTGGAAAGTTCCCAAAGCCAGGCGCATGGTGCTACAATAGAATAGGGGCAAGGCTGCTCCTTCCACGACACAAGGCCATACCTCTTTCTACCATATGCCATCAGCCTCAGCACTTAGTAACCTGTCCCCAGCTCCTCCCTCTCTCTCTCTCTCTCTCTCTCTCTCTCTCTCTCTCTCTCTCTCTCTCTCTCTCTCTCTCTCTCTCTGGTTTCTAAGACAATGGTCATAAGGGATTATTCTGAAAGGCAAATGTGATCCTATTACTATTCCCTTGGAATCCTCCTGGGTCTAAATCTGTCTTCAGGATAAAGCCTAAACAGTCTTTGTGGTGCCCCAGGAAGATCTCCTGATAGGGGCCCCTGTGGGCATCTGCACACAATATTCTCCCATTCTACTGTTCCTTTTGTAGGCCCACCACAAAGGTCATTTTCTAGGGAACCCAACTGGGTCAAGCAGGAGGAGGGGCACCAAAGAAATGGAAAACAGAAGCCAAATGGGGTGTGGGAAGCTCCACTGTGTTTGAGGGAAAGTGTTTTTTGGAAACAGAATTTTAGGATTTAGTCAGAATTTTGGCTTCCTAGCTTATAAAAACTGAACAATTATGTGTTAGTTTGAATGTAATTGGTCCCCATAAGCTCATAGGGAGTGGCACTATTAGGAGGCATGGCCTTGTTGGAATAAGTGTGGCCTTGTTGGAGTCAGTGTGTCACTGTGGGGGCGAGCTTTGAGATTTCATATCCTTAAGTTTGGCTCAGTGTCTGAGTCCACTTCCAGTTGCCTTCTGATCAAGATGTAGTCAGCACCATTTCTGTCCGCCTGCTCACCGCCATGCTTCCCAACAGGATGATAATGGACTGGACCTCTAAGCTGTAAGCTGCCACCTCAATTAAATGTTTCCTTTTATAAGAGTTGCCATGGTCATGGTGTCTCTTCACAGCAATAGAAACCCTAACTAAGACAAGTTACAAGATAATGAAGAAATGTTACGTTTAAAAAAGATAACATGTCTTCTGTCCTTATTTACGATGAGACACGTTATGACATTCAAATGACATTCCTCAGTTATTGGTTTTGCAAGCATCTATATAGCTTTACATTTAATGACCTGTCAAACCATGTACACTACTATGAGGAAGCGAACACATTAACTATTTATCCTTTCCATTTACATTTCAAGGATTGTGTACCTGAAATAACTGTAAATTACTTCTGGGTACAGATCACAAGTCCTCCTCCCCAGAAAGCAGAAAACCACGAATAGACAGCTGATTGCCCCATGCGGCTTTGTCTGAAGCTGGCACACACTTAGGAAAAATACAAAGTACCCAGTGTCCTTCTTATTAAATAAAAAGAATGATAGCCCACAGTGTGTTTCTTTGGCTTGATGAAATAAATTCACCAATGTGTCTGCAAATCATTTAGCTTTTTTATGAGGAGAAATGATAATTGCTTCAATTATAATTAGGGAACATTTGGGAACAAGAAGCACACCAGGACTTGGGTGATTAGATTTCTTAGCACTGCGAGCAGATTTCCAAGATGGCTAAAAACTAAATGAGTAACACTGGGCTGCAGTGAGTGCACCGGCCGCCATGGGTCATCCAGCATTGCCTTCTACCCCCTGGCTACAAATGCTTTGATGATGCAAACCAAAAGCCAGGCCACAGGGGGTATCTTGTAAGGACAGACCTGTGATCCAGACACTTAGGGATGCAGGAGATGCAGGGTACAAAGGTGTGCAGTTCGCTCAGCTCACATACCGCTATAATCTACAAAGGAATGCAACCCTCTGAGGGCGCTCCCTGGCCCTACAGGCAGGAACCCTGCACCCACACCCCAGTCCATCCCACTGAAAGAGGAAGCGCACATCCCTTCCTTATAGGGGAACCGTGGACGCTGGTACTGATCTGCACGTGGGTCCCCATGAAGGCCTCACAGCACTCACTCACCGCTTCTCTCGACACCGAACTCCTTCCCACTCAGAATATGATGCAGGAGGTTCTTCATGTCGAAGGGGCTGAGGTTCATCAAACTCTCTGAGGCTTCTTCTCCTAGAAGCAAACATCTTATAAGGGGCCCAGACATGGGCTGGTAGTGGGTAGTTCGGGTGGGAGAGGGTGATACAGAAGGTACTGGTGGGTCTCCTTGCTCATGACTCCTTCACTGGTGCTGCAAGCCTGACAAACATTAATCCTTGGGAAATACAAACACCTCTGTTTAGGTCAGTACAGATGCATTTAACTCCTAGACATAGAATTTCCCACCACACTGATCCCTGCTGCTGGGATGTGGTTTGCAAATGATGTTTATCTTTATTTCTCTCAGTGCAGGTGCTAGGAAGTAGAGGGTGACATCTTACAGTGAGGCTATCACTCGAGCTTAGCTGTCAGGTACAGCAAAGGTTCTCAGGAAAACATGGCAGCTGCTTCGCCAACCCCAGTAAGGAACGTTGTTGTGCTATGTGGCCTGACAGGAAGCACCTCTCACAAAGGAACCGGGGACAGCTTAAGATCACCCAGAGTGGAAGTCTATTTAGAAGCACCTGAGTGTGGCTCTCTGCACAGAAAGGCCTTGAGGTAGGGCTGAGATGGAAGGGTTGGCAAGCCATGACAATTTACCTGAGCAGTTCAAGCTCCGAGCCAACTCTGTGGCCATCACCTGGATGATCAATCCAATCCGGAGTCTGAGCATCTCTGCAAAGAGGCTAGGCTGGGCCCGGACATACATGGCCAGGTAAACCACGATCTCCTGGTGCAGATGGGAAGAGGGCTTCAGGGAACCTGAGAGGCCTATTGGCACCCTGAGTTAGGCTGTGGCCCAGCAGGCCCTTCTTGTATCAGCATCTGACCTGTGTGAGGACAGCAATGCTGATGTCCTGTCCACTGGCCTCGTAGATGAGTTTTGTGAGCTCCTCTGGGGGAAGAGGCCTAGGAAAGAGCAGCAGGTCGCACAAAATGGGTGCCTCAGAGCAGGGCCACCTTGCTCTCACTTTAAGTTCCCTGCTTTCTATACTACAAGCACCCATGTGACAGAGTATCTTCCAAAAGCCACTGCAACCGCTCCCCAATTGCAATGCTCTCTTTGTGTTCCTCTACAGATTGGGGAGCACCTCCAGCAAGGACTCACGTGGAGATGGTCTTCTCCCGGGGCTCAGGGGGCAGGCCGACTGTAAGTTGCTTCTGGTGGGACAGCAGATCTGCACAGGCCTGCACATTTTTTGTGCGGGAAGGAGAGGTGTACAAAGGAATATAAATTTAGCAAAACTAACTGAGACAGTTAAGTGCCACCAGCACCAGAAATTTGCCTTTATGAACTTTATTATCCATATTGCCCTTCAGAGAAATTCAAACCTAAAACCCTGTCTTAGCAACCCACGTAGGCTAGATTCCTGTAATCTTTGTGTCTCCCAGGTATGGCCCCAGGCCTGGTCCATCCACTAGAGCAGACACCCCGGACTCCCCGCTATTCGGACAAGGCAGGGATGAGGCTTCAGAGAGCAAAGATTAGAGTTACTAGCCACACTGTGTTCCAAGCTAACAAGCGCCTCAGTATTCATATGTAACAATGACTAGCATCTTAAAAACACTTGCTTAAAGCCACAGGAAGTGGTTCTGGATTTTGTAGGGCCTCAGGGATATAAACACTAATGATTACTGTACTGTGACATGGAGAAATAAGGACTTTGTTTCATGTGATTGCTTTCTGTGGTGAAGAAAGAAATAAACTAATCAACTTGAAAATTCCTTCTTCTCTCCTCTCCTTCTGGAGCAGTGAAGTCAGGAGAGGGCCTGTCCAGTGCTGGCTTAGGTTCCCTGAGTTCCTTGAGTCACAAGAGGCACTTGCCTTGAGCTTCCACAACTAGAAGACCAGAAGAAGGAAACATGGGGCTAGAGAGAATGGACAACCCGGCACGCACGCAGATTCTGACCTCAGCCAGGACCTCTACTTTCTTCCTGAGCAGGCCTGAAATGTAGCGGACCAAACTCCATTCTTGGTTTAGGCCAGCTTTTCCATAGAGCTCGCTGAGAAGACTGTGAACAGTGACTCCACGCTGTCCAGACAGATTGGTATCCCAGCTGGGACCCCTGAAAGGAGGCAGAAAAATACAAAGATAAAGGTCATACTGTCAAGGCTGTTTTAAAACATGGATTGCTGTGAATTTTGCCAATATTTGGACATTTTAAGTAACTCTGAGGCTCACCAAGACAGGTCAGGCTAAGCAAACATTTCTATGCCATGTCTTTTGAAACAAAAGCCTAGTGTGCACACATCACTATGGTATCCTGGTCTCACCCAGACTTCTGGAAGGCCAGCATCAAGAAACAGAGAAAGGGATAGAAGTCTTGTGTGTGATGATCCTAGGTAATTTGGGTGAATGTGATCATGGCCTGGCACTGCTGCAATGCCAACAGATCAGGAAAACGAATTATGGAAAACTAAGTGCAACATGGTGAACTCCATAAACTTACTGCTATACCTTGGATGCTTGTGTCCCCCTCAAATCCCCTTACTAAAATGCTAACCTCAGAGTTATGGTATTGGCCGGTAGAGCTTTTGGAAAGTAAGGAGGCCATGAAGAAAGATCCTCATAATCCATCAGATTATGAGAGTTCCCAGAGACTTGCTGTGCCTCCCCTCCACCATGTGAGGAAGGGTGGAAAGGCACCATCCATGAGGAAGTAGGTGTCACCAGATACTGTACTCGGTATACTATGAAATGCGCTTCTGTTCTTTATGCTGGCAGCTGATGGGGTATAGTAGCCCAAAGGCATTAAGGCACTTACTTTATCACATAGAGAATATAGAGAATGTCTGCTTGGTCCTGGAGGTTTGAGCAGTCTTTCAGCTGCCCAACTAGCTTCTCACAGTCCATTTCACCATGGTCATCTCCGGGCCACTGGTAGTCATAGTCAGGAGTCTGGCCACATAAAAGCCAAAATGGAGGGAAAGGAGTTGATAACGGGAACTTTTAGATGACCATAAAGTGCAACACCAACCTTGCTTTTGGATGCTAGCACTATGCTAGGCTTCATTTTTTTTTTCAGGAAATCTTTTGTACTATGTTATTTACAGGCCTTTATGATCCTCAATAGTGATCTATGTCAGTCGACACTTGCAAGGGACTAGACTGAACAGATTAAAACACATATCAGTTTTATTTATGCAAAACTCAAAAACAAAAAAAAAATCAACTTCTACTGTTACAGATCTTAAGAGCCGTGCTTCTCTCCACTACGACCTGGGAATGGAACCCAGGACCTTGCAAGAGAAACAGTCTACCACTGAGTCACACCCCCAGGCCCCAGCAGTTATCTTGGGACTATAGGATGGGGGTAACTAGGAGGAGGCACAAGAGCATACTGACTCAGTGGCAGTTCACGGCACTCTACTGGTGAGTGTGCTTTTCTGTATATATGTCATACGTTAAAAGAACATATTGGTTCGTTTTCTTGAATAAGCTCTCATCATGTAGCCCAGGCTTCTCTAGAACCTGCTATGTACTCAAGTTGACTGAAAATTTGCAGTCTTCTGCCTCTGCCTTTTTGGCGCTGGAATTATAGTCAATGCTAGCACAGCAAGCTTTCAATGAAATATCTTTTATAATAAAAAAAGTACTTGTTTAAAACTACCTAAAAATGAGGTGAGATTAAAACATTCTCCAATAGACATTGGATATTTTGATTCATATGGGACAAAATCAGGAAATCTGTATGAATAAAACAGTAAAAAAAAGGCCCAACACCCCGCGACGTCATGGTTTTTAAGAATCTCATTACATTAAGAGTATGAAGGAGCAGTTGTAGGGGTGCACATTTATAACGGTACTTGACAGGCCAGTGCAGGAGGACTGTGAATTCAAGAGCAGCCTGGGCCAAAACCAGACCTTGTTTTCAAAAACCAGACCAAAGGGTGTGAGTAATGAAGTAATAAAGTCCCATGCTCTGTTCTGAGCTCTGGCTGGCTCAGATGAGATAAGGAAGGCAATTAAGTGTACTTCTTCTATTACTTCCTGTGTTCTGAAGAGCAGGCAGAGAGGCAGTAAGAGGCCTTTTCCTCCAGGCAAAACGCAAAGGTATGCACCAAACTCAGAGCATGCAATGATGCAAACTGCATTCCAGACAACTACGTGCCTAGATTCACAGCATCACGCAGACTGTCTCAATTGTGAAACTCTGGGTATAAAGAAATAAGCTCTTAAAGTGTCACCATTTGAGACAGTTATTGGGACTAACCTGGTATTATCAAGTATTACATTAAAACAAAACAAAGCGATTCAAAACACTTTACCTTCTTTAGGAGTGGCTGAGGGGAGTCAACAAGATTCAGTGACTTACGGTGTCCACTTAGAACTTTAGTTGGCAAAACCATTGGAAAAACTGGAAGAGAAAACAATGAAGAAAGCGCTTGTGAGGAAGGATAATGACAAAGCCCTTCTTTTGGTAGGTATGGGGCATTTTAGGCCTGCAAACAGATTTAAAAGAGGTGATGCTTGACTTCACTCCTCCCTTCCCGTTTCTTCTGAAGGCTTGTCTCACCACATCTGGCTCCTATTTATTTATTATATGCGTGCTCTATCCACATATACGATTTTATGCTAGAAGAGGGCACCAAATCCCACCAGCGATGGTTGTGAGTCACCATGTGGTTGTTGGATTGAACTCGGGACCTCTGGAAGAACAGCCAGTGCTCTAAACTGTTGAGTCATCTCTCCAGCCCCCCACTTCTCTCTTTTACTTCCTAGATGGGAAAACTGAGACCTAGAGAAGGTGGAACATTTGCCCAAGGTCACAGAGTTTCGTGATCGAGGTGTCTGTGCTTCCTGCTCAGTTTAATTCTAGCGCTGCTGGTTGCTCTGGATTTCATTTTTTATCATCTCTGGATGTTTTTATTATCTGTAGTCCTTCAGTATGATGTCTCTGTCTTTCAGGCTATACTATAACTCAGAAAACTAACAAGTAGCTCATGTGTATTTTCTGTGTTGTGCACATCCATGGGGAAGCCAGGGCTTTGTGTTAGGTTTCTTCCTCTGTCTCTTTCTACATTATGTTTTGAGATAGCATCTCTTCACTGAACCTGTAGTTCATTCATTCAGCTCCAGGGATTGGCCTCCCGACCCCCACTCCCCACTGCCACAGCTGCAGTGCTGGAGTTACAGATGTGCATAGCTATGCCTGGATTTTACACGGCTGCCGGACAGATGAACTGAGATCCTCATGCTTGCTCAGTGAGTCCTTTACCCATGGAGCCATATTCCTAGCTCCCTCACTAACGCATATTCAAAAGAATTCTTAAAAAAAAAAGAATTCTTAAAGCAAGCTAAATGGTTCACATCTGTAATCCCAGCAGTCTGTAGAGGACTACAAATTCAAAGTCAGCTGAGTTCATGGCCAGCCTGTACCACACAAGATACTGTCACCAAAAAAAAAACCAAAACCACCACTGAACAAAAACACCTAACTAAGACCCCCCCCCCCAAAAAAAAAACAAATCCTCAAGAATCGGTTAAAAACAGAAAAGACAATAATAGCATTTTCAGAAATAGCGAAGACAAAGGTTGAAAGACAAGTGATTTAGAAAACACGGGGCCTGCATATATGTTAGGGTGATGGCAGTTTGGTGTTTGTGTGGGACTCCTAACAGTGGGAGCAGGGGCTGTCTCTGACTCTTTTCCCTGCTCTTGGGACCCCTTTCCCTTCTGCTAGGCTGCCTCCTCCAGCCTTAATATGAGGGTATGTGTCGAGTCTTACTGAAACTTGTTATGCATGTTCAGCTTTAACTCTGAGAGGCCTGCCCTTTTCTGAGGGGAAATGGAGTTGATCTGGGGGAGGGAAGGTGGGAGGAACTTGGAAGAGTGGAGGGAGGGGAAACTGTGGTTGGGACATAATATATGAGAGAAGAAGAAATAAAGATTATTTAAAAAGGAAAAAGAAAATACAGGTCAACAAACTTCAAGAATACAATAGGGAAATAAATGAACCAGTCAGATCTACCTTCAGAGAAACCTTTGAAGTCTAAGGTTTGCTGTCTTGGGTACTTCTGGGACAGGTATGGAATTCAAGGGAATAAAAAAAAAAACAACTGAAGAGACAGTGTGTGAGATGCTGTGAGAATCCTAGATGTTCTGCTTTTCTGCACAAGGCATGGTGTCTGCCCCTTTCGGGAGGACAGAAGGCTAGAGGACTCTCCAAAGAGAGGCAAAGAGGCAGGATGCCTGGGTTCAGACCATATCTGACATATCTGAAGGCCTGAGTTCCTTCCTTAGAGAGACAGGAGAACAGTTCTCTGCCCTTCCAGTAGAACAGTGAGCGGGAGACAGTAGAGTACCTCTGAAGAATCACCTACACTTCACAGGCCGAGGCCACAAGTTCCACCTGCTTGGAGGGTTTCCTACAGTAGCGGCTGTGCACCCTGTGCTGTAGGAGGAACGCCACAGTGAGAAGTAGAAACGTTTACTCAAAGGAAAAGGTATCCTGGAAATGGGAACCACTCAGGGAAAAGAAAGTGTAAACAATAAGGTAAAACGTCCATCTCTAATGTTTTTAGAATAATAAGAAATTATATTAAAACATGTATGAAACAAGAGCAGATGGAATTTGGGGGATGAAAATTAAAATAATAGCAAAAATGAAAAAAATCAATTGAAGGGAGGGACAAAAAGTTGAGCTAATTGTGCTCAGAACAGATTAGGAATATGGAAAACAGAAATTATGAAAACTTCTCCAAGAAATTAATAAATATATATGGAAGAAAGGACAGGGATAATGTGAAGAAGGAGATGAATCAAAGTTTTTAGAAAAAGTTGACAGAATTGAAAACCATAAATTTTCAGATCAGAAGGTCCACTGAGTATCCAATACAGCAGATGAAGACATACAATTAAAATTTCAGAACCTCTCAACAGAAGATCTTAAAAGTCTCTAAAATCAGCTAATATTTGAAATCAAAAATCAATATAGGACCCTCTTCACCTAGCCATATCTCCACATATTTCTCCAGGTTCTAGCCTGGTGAGTCTCTCCCTCATCCACCTACCTTCTCACCCCACCAGACCTAACTCAGGTCCCATATCCAGTGCCCCAGCCTAGCCTGGCCACCCCAGCCTGCACCACATTCTATCTCTCAGTTTCCCACAGGATGGGCCCTGCCTACCTCCAAACACAAAGGCCACTGCCATGCCACTTATCTATCTGACTTCATTCCACCCAAGCCATTTCCAATCTCTAGGCCCATCTCACCAAGACCCCTTTTTTCTATCCTGAGCTGTCCTATCCATATCAGACTTAGAACTAACAAAAGAACTCTACAAGTTCATTTCTTCTCTCTCTCTCTCTCTCTCTCTCTCTCTCTCTCTCTCTCTCTCTCTCTCTCTCTCTGTGTGTGTGTGTGAGAGAGAGAGAGATCGCTCATACTAGAGAGAGAGATCGCTCATACTAGTACCTTCTTTCTGAAGCTTACAAATCCTATAGAATTTTTTGCCAATGAGAGTTTCTTTACTTCTTATTCTGTGGCCTGCTGTGCAGTTGGGTGGCTAGCCCCTGGAGTCCTCGTCTCCTTCTCCTTTTCTTTCTCCTCAATCTTCTCTTCCTAGATTTCTCCTCCTATTTATTCTCTCTGCCTGTAAGCCCTGCCTATCCTTTCTCCTGCCTAGCTATTGTCTGTTCAGCTTTACATTACACCAATCCGGTGTTTTAGACAGGCAAAGTAATACAGCTTCAGAGTTAAACAAATGCAACATAAAAGAAGGCACCATATCTTTTCATCATCAAATAAATATTCTGCAGCATAAGCAAATGTAACACATCTTAAAATAATATTTCACAACAAAAGTAGACAGAAGAAAGCCCATGAGTTCTCAGTCGTACACACATATACATACAAAAAAGCAAACCAAAACAAAACAAAAAAATACAGTCAAATAAAGAATGCTGAGAGCTATAGAAATAATCTTCTCCAGGGAAGAGTATACCAATTGGTTATCCAATTCCAAATGGCTAGCCCTAAAAATGTACATACAAGTAACATTATACAGATCAAGCAGGTTATATTTAGAAATATATATGTATATATAAGAAGCCAATCATGAAAAACCATATATGGTATGCATCAGTTTATTCTATGGATCCAAAATTAACAAAATATAGAGACAGATTAATGACTGCCTAGGAGTAAGAAAGGGACTAATTGGGAATGTTAATGGAACTGAGGGTGTTGCTTTCTGGGACATGTACATACATGCACACAACAACGATTGATTAAAAAGGAGATCATGATTTCAAAGAGAAGAAGGGATATACAGGAGGGTATGGAGGAAGGGAAGAGGAAATGATGTGATCATATTAGACCTTCAAAAAACAAATGATTGAAATGTGGTGACTAAAAGATGTGCTTTATGTTTATTTCTTTACTTTTCTCTACTTACAAAATTAATTATACATAGGTCATTGAGATGACTCTGTGGGTGAAATTGCTTACTGCCCAGCCTCATAAACTGAGCTCAATCCTGGGATCCCATATGACAGAAGGAGAACCAATTCTTATAAGCTGCCCTCTGACCTCCATATGTGTGCCCACACCCACACCAAATAAAAAATAAATGTAACTAAAATTCAGTGTGGTTAATAAAGAGTTCACAGAAAAATAACTGTATGCTTACGACAAAATTTTGGAAAAGTCAAGTGAGAACATACCAGAAAGTAAACATTACCCGAAGAGAACCTTCTTCTCCGTTTATGTGACACATTTTAAGGTTCTCCTTTATTTATCTGCAGGCTGTGGAGTCCAAATCTGAGGTTGATACTAAGAATATAACAAGGAACTGAAGAGCACTCCATCAGGAAAGCGCCTGCAGTACAAGTATGAGAACCTGAGCTCCCATACCTACAGAGAGAGCTGGACATGGCTACATGCACGTATCCTTTGGAGGTGGAGACAGAAAGATTCCTAAGGCTTGCTGACCAGCCAGCCTAGCCTAATCAGTGAGCCCTAGGCCAGTGAGAGACCCTATCTCAAAAACACAGAACGAAATAGATATAAAAGGTGGCAAGCATCCTTGTTGAAGAAGAGCCAAGGTTGGACTGTCAGCCTTCACACATGCACGCACATACAAATACACATGCATACACGTATACACCAACTACTTCTATGAAGTGATAATTTCAAAAATCTAAAGAAAAATGTATTTTTAATCTATATTCTCCATTCAGATAAGCAGCCAAGTGGATATAAAATATCTGCAAGCATTTTCAGACCTATAAAGTCTCAATGTTACCCACTACCTGTTGTTTCTAAAAAGGCTAGTGGATGTCCTTCACCAAATTATCTTTTGCCAAGAGAGATAATTGAGGTATAGAAAACAGGAACGCTAACCCAAAAAGCAAGTCAAGGTAGCAGGCCTATAGCACAGCTGGTCCAGAAAGAAGACTTTCTGTAGACCAAGAAAGACTCTAGAGATTCATTAATATAACTTGCCTTGTAGAAATCTTATTATGAGGACATTGGAAGACTTAGAAGATAAGCAAACAAAAAAGGACGATGTTCATTTCAAAACAACCATAAAGTAAAAACAGGACTGTAATCATAGTGCACTATAATGTTCGGTTAAGAATACTATCTGTACATATCCTGTAAAGTGTGAAGACTGATTGAACTAAATTTTTAGACAATTTCCTTTGTAGGTTAGGAAACAAAGTAGGGAAGTGGTAATTTAAGACAACAAAATCTTGATCGTACACTATAACATTATAGGTTAAAATGACAACTCAAAGGACAGAAGTAAATACATTATTTTAGAAATATGGAGATACAGAAATTCCAGAAGAAACATGTAGAAGAACTGAAAGTGGTCACAGTGAAATAGAAGGTTGGGAAAGGGGGTACATCTTGTCTTTTAGGATTGACTCGAATTATATGACTTTGATGAAAGAATGTATCTTAGCTGAGCTGTAGTACCGCACGTCTTTATCCCAGCATTTGGGAGGCAGAGGCAGGTGAATCTCTGTGACTTTGAGGCCAGCCTGGTCTACAGAATGAGTTCTAGGACAGGCTACAGAGAAACCCTAGTGAGTTCTAGGACAAGCTACAGAGAAACCCTGTCGCAAAAAAAAAAAAAAAAAAAAGTATCTTAACAGACAGAAGAGCTTAATAACATACATGGAGTTTCCAAACCCTTTGCTTTGGCCATCACAGAAAGTATGTCCCGAGTGGAGTGGATAGCACTGAAAACATGGCTGTCTTCTGACTTCTTACAAAGAGGAGGCAGGTAGCACTTCAAGGCTGTACTTTGAAGAAGGTGGTTGATATACTGGTCAAGTTCATCTTGGCTTTCTGCAATTGGACAACCAAGGAAAAGAATCAATAAAAACAAGCTGTTGAGTAGACAATATTTAGCTAAATAAATTTGCTCCTCCACTCAAACTAAAAGGAAAAAGCTAGTGACAGGTACATCACATGTGTATATAAATTTATTGTTTGAAAATCTTCATTCTAGACCAAAGAGATCCAGAATGAGACAGTGTTTAAGTCACACCCTCCCAAGGTAAGCAGTAGAATATGAAAACAACATGAAGAATAGCAGCTGAATCCTGTCTTTTAAGCTTAGAATAAGCTAAGCCTTATGGAGCTTTCTGTACACTTACAAATGTTATCTAAGTGAAAACTGTGCCAGGTGGTAGTGGCACATGTCTTTAATTCCAGCGCTTGGGAGGTAGAGGCAGGTGGATTTCTGTGAGTTCAAGGACAGTTTGGTCTAAGTAATGGTCTAAGCCCTAGGCCAGCCAGGGATGTTACACAGAGAAACACTGCCTTGAAAAACAAAACAAGAACAAAATAAAACAATAAACAAAGTAAAAATGGGTCGCTTTGACCTGAAACCATATTCAGATTAAGATATGCTATATACGTGTGGGGTTTCACCATTCATATCTAATCAAAACTAGGTCATTCCTACCATTCCTTTAAAAAAATCAAGCAATGTGTTTCTCCTTTAAGAATCTATTTTATAAGGCTGGTGGTGCAGCTCAGCAGTACAGGCATGCATGAAACTTTGGGTTCACTCTCAGGGCAGCATTTAGTTTAAATAGCTCTGAAAACCCACTTAAGGAGCACCAGGAACAGCTGGTGCAAATGAACTCACAAGAGGTCTGAGGTGCAAATGAACCATTTTAAAAAATAAATAATAAAAAGAGGAGCAGTGAGATGGCTCAGTGGGCAGTGGTGCCTGCTGCCAAGCTTGACAACCATAGCTCAATCCTCAGAATCCACATGGTAGAGCAGGTGAATCAATTCCAAAAGTTGTCCTTAACCTCTACAGATATGTTATATATGTCATGGTATGTCAGAGAGAGAGAGAGAGAGAGAGAGAGAGAGAGAGAGAGAGAGAGAGAGAGAGAGAGAGAGGGAGGAAGAGAGAGAGAGAGAAACAGAGAGAGAGAGAAAAAGAGAAAATAAATAAATAAATGGGAACCATCTTTTTAAAATATCAATTAATGAACTGAGACTTTCCTACTAGGCCTATGAAAGGCCTTTCAAGGGCGCCAGCGTAATTTAGGCTCTTAAACCAGCACTTTATTCGAGTGAACGGAATCTTCAGAAGCCTTGTTTTTGTTCATTTGCTTGTCAATTATTTTCTGTATTTGGGTCTTAGGCAATTTTATCATAGTGCCAGGGCTGAAACCAATACAACCAACACTCCACAGAATTTTGACACAAGGTACCTGGATGGCTGCTGTCTTCCAGGTATCCTCCCAGTTCTAACTCGCTGTCAGGGCTAAAGCTCCCATCACTGATGTCATCAAACAACTTCTCGTCACAGTCTGGATCCAAGAAGGTCAGGTACGTATAGAATGAGGTAGTGAGGAACTCTGCCAGGTTTCCTAGCTTTACTCTGTTGAGAAGGCACTATGTTAGGGCTACAGACAGACTGCACAGACTTCCCCTTTGAATCCCTGTGAAACTCTTCAATAGCCAATTCACACCTCTGTAGGAGCCAGTAACTACTAACCCAATACAAGACAAGAAAGAAACCCAAAATTCAATAGAAAAGTTGGGCCTGGTGGAGAATGCCTGTAATTCTAGCACTTGGGAAGTAAGAGCAGGAAGAACAGAAGGCTGGGCCCATCTTCTGCATCACAGAAAGCTTGAAGCCAGCCTCGACAACGTAAGACTGTGCCTCAAAAAGCAAAAGAATCAAAAAATTTATTCACAAGTATAAAGTGAAAAGGACAGAGCATTTAAAAGTCAAAAGAGTCATAACAAATTTTTATTCCCAAGCCTTAAAAAATACAAATCTACTTTCCTGATCAGCTCACAACTTTAAAAAATAAACTGTGCAAACCCCTTTTAGTTAGAATCAACCTCCAGGATTTCTCTCCCTTAACAACTGGATTAGAAGAAATAATTTCTCTCCCTTAACAACTGGATTAGAAGAAATAATTTCTCTCCCTTAACAACTGGATTTGAAGCAATAATTTCTCTCCCTTAACAACTGGATTAGAAGAAATAATTTCTCTCCCTTAACAACTGGATTAGAAGCAATAATTTTCCTGGTGTGCTTGACTTGCCATGAAACATGGTGAGCTGGGCACAGGGAATTTCTGATGGAAGACACATGCCTCAGAGTTAAGGTTCTCTCAGTCACTGGATTAATTCAGCATCTTCAGATTGACACCAATGCACCCTGCACAGGCCCTATTGTATTGGGCTAAGAAATGCCCCACTGAAAACTGGCAGCTTGGGTCTTGCTAAAGAGGTATCAGCAACCAAGATCCTGGGAGCCCACATTGTTTCTGCTCTACAGAAATGTCATATACTAAAGTGGGAGACAACAGGACCTCCCTCTGAGCTACCAGCACCAGATCAGGATTTAGTCAATATGTGTGAAAACCTAAGAATCCAGGATAGAATTGTTTATGGAGGAAATGAGACTATGCAATACAACTGTTACCTTCACAGACACCCATGTTTCAATGGGCAAGAGGCATATGACAAGATGACAACTGGGGAAGAGAAGCCTGCCCTTAAATGAACAAAAGCCTTCTCGTGGAGAGCCAAGGGCCAGTTCCAAGGCTTGTTTTGTTTTGCTCTGGGGTTGGGGAGGTAGGCCAGAAAACCAAAATGCAATGGAAACCTCTTGTCTGGTACAGGTGAAAGGAATGGGCTTTATGAGGCTAAAGAGAGCTCGAAGAAAGAAGACAGTCACTTTAAAAGCTTTAGGCCAGGTGGTGGTGGCACACGCCTTTAATTCCAGCACTAGGGAGGCAGAGGCAGGAGGATCTCTGTGAGTTCGAGGCCAGCCTGGGCTACAAGAGCTAGTTCCAGGACAGGCTCCAAAGCTACGGAGAAACCCTGTCTCGAAAAACAGAAAAAAAAAAAAAAACAACAACAAAAAAACCAGACTTAAATATAAAGAAGTCCAATGAGATTCAACCTTAATTATCAAGAACTGAACTGGGAGCTGGAGTGTTGCTCTGGGGTAGAGAGCATATAAGCCCGAGGCCCTGAATTTGATTCCTAGCATTGCAAAACTAACTGCAATTGAATACAACAGGTAGCTGTGGGAGCCCCAGCATTGCAAGTTTTCCACAGTTCTCTGCATGGTGCTTTGTAAGCAGGAGGCCTTAGGCCTAGGGGTTGTAGGTTGGTTCTGGATCCGCAAAGTGCTTCTGTACCTATCTGTCTTACAGTCCTGGCACTCTGAGCTTATGGTTCTTTGTCTAGAGATGAGACCCTAGCTTGCCACAAAGCAAAGACTAAATGAGACAACATTCAAGACATACTGCAAAACTCCTAACTGCATACTATAATCTTTTTACAGTGATCAGATTTCAATAAAATAATGTATTTTGTAAATTGGTTCATTATAGGGCTATATTTTCTTTTGGTCATGATGCTATATATACTAGGTGGCAACTTAGCCAAGCTAGAGGCAGACTGCTCCGAAGTGGATGCTGATGGGAGTTCCGATTCTAGCCCTGCAAATGGAGACAGCACCACAGTGGGGACTGTCTTGACTGATATTCCTAAGAGGCCAAGGACAGCCTGCATGGGAAGACACTTTTAGGCTATGATGGGCCCCATAGGAAAGCTACAAGGACCCAGAGGACTTTAGGAGCTGCAAAAAAAAAAAAAAAAAAAATCAATTGAGTCCAAAGTGAGAAAAACAGTCAAGTTCACCTTGAAGGATAAAAGTGAGGTGATAAAAGGAGCCAGTCATCAAAAGATCTTACATGATACAAGTTATCTGCCTAAAACTATGGGGACACAAGAAGATATGGTGCTGTAGACAGGCAGGGCAGCAGAGGGTTGTTTCTTATGTATGGTGTTTTAGTTCTGCAAGATGGAAAGTTCTAGAGATCAGTCTCACATGATGGAAATGCACTTGGCACACTGGTCTGTCTACTTAGATATGGTGGAAAGGGCAAGGTAAAAGTACTTTACCTGAAATTAAGAAAATAGTCATGCTTTTCCTGTGGCAACAGGTGGGAGGAGGCGAGAAGAGGGAACTTGACTTCAAACACTGTCAGCAGCTGTTAAGCTAGCCCAAGAGACTCCTCTCTCTGCCTGGGGAAGGTACCATGGTCTGTCTGCACAGCTGAGGCTCCACTGGGGAGTTATCTGACATACTCCCAAGAGATTCATGGACATGAGGATATAGAGTCTACAGAGAAATCTACCATGCACCATTCAGAGGGACAAAATGAGAAAGGTACTCCTATAGAGTTAGCAACCCTATTCACCTAAGGTGCCTAAGAATCACACCTGAGAGTCATACTCTAGGCTAACAGACCGAAATAGGTCTTTTGCTACTGAAGCTGGTGCGGAGCGACTCATGCAGGACTAATAAGGTGCTCTGTTTCTGGGGGCCCTCAAGAAATCTGTCAAGTCAGCTTTAATTGCGCACCTCTGGCCCCTCCCTAGGTCATGTTCCAGGAAAGACAGCTCTGAGAGACTGCTGTGTTCACCTCTCTATGACGGTGCACTTCCAGAGCCCAGGAAAGAATAATAAGCATCAACCAATGTTTCTTTAGACCTGATTCTAGTTTTCCATGGGAGATAGAATTAGATTAATTTCCTTCTTACTCTAAAATTCTGCATGTCTAGGTTCAGAAACTGATGCAAACAGTGAGGAAAGGACAGTAAAAGACTTTCAGAAAGGTAAATGCTATTCTTATTTAATGAAAAGAAATCCCAACTTACCTAGCACCTCCAAAATATCCATCTTCTAGTTTCCTAATTGTAGAAAGAACTGCAGGATGAATGTCTGATCCATCATTGGCTAATGAAAAAAAAATAATGAATGAGTTTTCTTCATCTGGGAGTACACTGTACTGCAATGTTCTCACTAGCACGACCCAATCAAAACCCTTATGGTACAGAAGATTCCTGAGATAGAGAGGCCAAACGACTAAGGATCCCCATCAGTATTTGCCACTGTCCACAGCAACTGTCCTAAATATTTAGATAAGAGCCCATGACCCAGCAGATGGAGTTCACGGAATTACTGAGCATGGTGTGTGTGACAGGGAAGGTGAGTGTGGGGCGGCCGGTCATCCGCCAGCAGGTGCACAGATAGGCCAGCTCGATCCTCAGCATCTCCACAATCATCTCGTTGTCCAGGGCCAGGTAGAAGTGATGCTGGTCGGTGAACTGAAAGTTAGAACAGGCAAAGTCAAGGGCCACCCTTCACTTATTCCCACACGACACCAGTCACTCAAGGCAGCGCTGATCCTGAACCTGCTGTCCAGAAAGATGTTTGGTATTGGCCTCAATCAGGTGGCCCCTTTCTCTGAGATGAGACATAACAAATCTGTCATGTGCCTAGCAGCTGCAGCCACACGGATACGATAGGAAAGGTGTGCTCCTAGACCTGCCATCAGCTCCTCCCACAGGGATAAAACTGTCCTCACCACAAAGGGCAAATCAAAGTGGTAATTGCTACCCCTTTGGGGGATTCTGGGTTTGCAAATACTTTCCAGGCGAGGGAGAGCTGGGACCACTGTCCATCTGACTGATGCCTGCCTAATGCCAACCAGAGGTACTGCCACAACAATGAAGGTGACAACCTTTGTGCTCGTGCACACTCAGCTCTACATTTAGAATTTGGTACTAAGGGAAATGGCTTGCAAGGTTTAAAGTGGCAGCTACCAAGGCAAGATCCCACAGCCAACCACATGTTCAGGCAGGCAGGGGTCCATGCTGTGTCTCACAACTGGCAAAGTGACCACACTGTCTGTCTTTCTAGCTGCTTCCACTAGATTAGTTTTCTTCAAGAACAAACATTCTGAAGATAAGTGCCACAGCCATTAAACTGTGGGCTGGGGACCTGCACATCAATCCAGCTGTGTATCATACTGAGGGTCCTATGACAACCTTCACAAGGGTTAGGGACTGTTAAGTTTAGGTGATATGAGCCAACTGATGTGTCACATTGTAAAGCATGTATTCATGTCTGGAAGTGATGACATACTCAATTTGATTCAAGTAACATCAATCGAGTACCTACTGTAAGCATTTTCTATCCCTCCGCCTGATCCCAGGCATATAAAATCTTTCCATGTTTCAGGTAGAAATGCTTACCAGACAGAAAAGAGAATTTAATGAGAGGATGCTGGCTAATTTCAACTGCTGCCACTTTTTTCCCCTCAGTTTCTTTATGCTTGCTTGTTTGTTTGTTTTTGAGACAGTGTCTCAACTGTGGCTGGTCTGGAACTCACATAGACCAGACTGGCCTTGAACTCACGGAGCTTCACCTGTCTCTGCTTCTCCAGTGCTGAAATTAAAGGCATGCACCAGCATGGCCAGCTGGCCTGCTCCTGTTACCTGGGGTGTAAAAGTGAAGATCTGGTTCCTAATCACATAGAGTTTAGAGGTGCCGAGGACACCAATGTGGCGATATGGTCGACCACTCAACTTCATATTCTTATTTCGTCCTATTTGAAATATAAAGGAGAAAGTAGAGTTAGAGAAAATAGAGTAAGAGCTATTTCTAGTGATGTCGGCTAAGTCTGGACTTAATTTTGTGTCCGACAATATACTCAGGAGTTTGCTTTCCTAATACCACACATGGCATTTTAAAAAGTGGGACAAAGCTGAGCAGAGAACACATCTCACCCCCTCTCTTCATGCATGGACATGAACAAGGCCAGTTTGTTCTAGATGGAGCAGAACTACTAACAGAACTTTATTAATACTGGCTTTGAATTTATTTAGTAGTCAGCTATAAACTAAACAAATTCAGATTCTAAGAAAATAGAACTGATTCCTACTTTAGTGGGTACAATGAGCATTTTGGGGCATCACAGATAACAATTAGAAGCTGTATCCAGATACTAGTGACTCTTTCAACTGTGACATTCCAAAGGGATTACTTATTCTCCAATAGATCTACCAGACAGTGGGGCCCTCCTATGGTGGGATGGGCTGACCAAGCTGAGGGGAATTTGCTTGCCTGCCCATTCTTCACAACGAAGAGGAACAACTGGTTGACCTGCTTAGTGCTCTGCCCAGGTCTTCAGAACTTAGAACAAGGTTTTCCTCATGCCCAACCCTAGAACCAAATATACTCCCAATGCTTCCCTGACCTACCAAGTTTGGCATATACGTGACTAAGAATCCGGCCTGGCTGGACTCGAACTGGATGCACATCAGCGATGCTCTGGACATTTACCCCATGTTGCCGCAACAGCCCCTTAATGTGACTGTTTTCTGCCAAAACAGCGACTGCAAACAAGAACAAAGAACCTGCATCAGATCTGTGTCTGCTGTCTCTTCACACTGACACACGGAACTGATTGTCCCTTCTGCCCAGCACCAGGCGTTGCTAGCACATTCCCTGTGCTTGGCTTTGAAAACAGTGGTGTCTGTCCTGCTGCACTCCCTGTTTTTCTGTCCTAACTGCACCTCAACACACACAATATACATATCTGTCAAGTGCCCTCACTACGCAGGACAGTCTGAGAGCTTGTAGAAATAGCCTTCAATAGGCTCCACACCAACCTTGCCTATCTGAAATAATGTCTTGCCTCCCTCTGAGTTCACATTTATCTAAATACACCTTGTGTCCTTTCACATAGGGGTAGGAGTACAAACAGCTACCTAAGGGGATGTCAGAAATCTGGGCTCTTGCTCCCAAAAGGCAGAGGAAATGAGAATACCATAGTGTCTGCTTACAGGGAATGCTTTAGCCTGGGGAAGAGAAGGAGAGAATATCTTTCTTTTCCCTAGAAAACAAAGTACGCCTGCTGGTGGAGATATCAGTAGAAGCAGGACTAGAAGCACAGCACAAAACCCCACAGATGAGAAAGAGCACCCATGCAAGCTGGTTTGAGTCCTTAGCTCTCTGGCTGGCAGGGACCTCCAAGAATCCGGGTCCTGGCAGTTGATGCAGAAATTAGTCTTAGCTTAGGGCCACATCAGTGATGACTGGGCGGTGTCTCATACCAGTACTGCCTGTCTTTATGAGAAAGCAGTGTGCTGGTAAAGGGATGGGCTTTGGAAGGGGCTTGCTGAAGAGGAAGCCAGTCACAGGAAGCAGCTGGTATCTTACCCAACTGCAGCAGAGCCTTTCAGAAACTAGAGGGTCTCAGGGCCATGCTCAGTCCAGAGAAAAAAAGCTAAGCTACTGTTAGGGTGTCTTCCCCAAATCCTACCATTGTATCCATAGGCTGGGGTGGGTGCTGAACATGTGATACACATAAATGCCACAGAGAGCTGAACATTACCCCCTTACATCTACACACCACCTGACGCTTTTTAAACGGTTTTAATACCCATGATCTCATCTTTCCAGCGAACCTTAAGAGAAGCCATGAGAATGCTTAATTAGCCCAAACAGATGGGGGAGAACTGGAGCCTAACCCCCCTCTTCCCCAGGTCTCAAATAAGATTGCTCATCTGCAGGACTGACCATGGTTTCCCTCAACACTTTGAAAATTACCCCTTCTGAAACTGCCGCTGACAAAGAGAATTGCACATTTATCAAAGTTGCACCGCTCCCAGTCTCTGGAAGACTGCGTCTTTCAGGGAGTGATTGTAACTGACACCGGGGAGGGCCTCATAGTCCGATGCAATCACATGAGCTCCCTCCTCTATTCTGAGTGTGGGGGGACATGCATGTGCCATAGCATGTGTGTGGGGGGGGGGGTAAAAGGGCAACTTGCAGGAGTCAGTTCTCTTGTTCTACTATATGGGCTTCGGGGATTGAACTCTGGCTGTCAGGCTTGGTGGCAAAGTGCTATTATCTCTTGAGGCATCTCACTGGATCTGCATGAGTTTCTGAAACAGCCCAACTTACTTCATGCTAGATCCTCTGGTAATGTTGCTCTGTTCTACTACATCAAAAAAAAAAAAAAAAAAAAAGCTGGGGTGAAGAGATGTCTGAATAGTTAAGGGTGCTCACTGCTTCTCCAAAGGATCCAAGTTTGACTCCCAGCACACACATCAGGTGGCTCACAATTGCTTATAACTCCAGCTCCAGAAATCCTAACACCTTCTGGTCTCCTTGGGCACTGCACATATTTGCAAAATTCATGCTCAGACGGACACACGCACACACAAACACGCACGCGCGCGCGCACACACACACACATAATTAAAAATAAAATCAATAGATTAAAAAAGGTTGGTTGAGATCTATTAATATATCCCAGCCCACAGCTGGAAACCTTGTAGTTTTAAGAGACAAATTAGCAGAATATGTGTTGACCAAGTGTGGAGACTAAGAAGTGCAGCTGGATCAGCCTGCCAGGATGTCAATAATAGGTTCCCACCTCCAGTTGTCAGCTGAGGTCCCTGAATGAATAAGTTAACCTCTAAGCTTCAGGGAGACAAGCAATGTGGCAAATGTTACCTAATGAGAATGTTATGGTGATTAGGTGTACTCTGCATACACTGTTGATGAGATGTCAACTTCCAGCTCCTCTCATTATATCATGGGTATGCTCATTAAAAGGGGCCAGTGGCCCCAAAGAGGAGTGCTTTCTTATTTGTTCAATCATGATTTTCAATGTGTGGGTGCACAGGTGTCAGTCAACACAGAAGAGAATACAAGCCGTATCCTTAAGAAGTGTAAAACCTAAGCCAGACATGGTGGTTCATGCCTATAATCTCAGCACTTAGGAGACTGAGGCAGGAGGATGTCTGTGAGCACAAGGCCAGCTTTGGCTATTGTATTGAGTTCAAGGTCAGCCAGTTTTACAAAGTAAGACTATGCAAACAAACAAAGGTATGTAGCTAAATTTAGGAGCAATGTGTTATATACACAGTGGCTGACATTTGACAGCACCTGAGTGAGTGTTCTACAAGGTCCTCAAAACGTGTCAGAGCTGCCAGTCCCTTAGTAGAGGAAACAGAAGGAATTGCTGCTCTCGCTGCATACCATAGGCTAGACCTAGATCGAAAGCCTCCTCTATAGCTATCTCCATTGCTTGCAGGATTCCTTGGGGAAGAGCAAGAGTCCCAGCAGGCCTGAGAAATGGCCTGTTGGGGTACCCTTGGAAAGACAGCCCCATTGGGATTCTTATCTTTTTGGAAGAAGAACTGGCTAAAGAGGAAGGAAGGGAGGAAGCTGGTGGCAAGACCTGAGACCTTCAAGAGACAAATGATCCACTTCACTTGGGTTCTGAGTTTGCACCAGGCTCAGACTCCACTTGTCAGAGTGACAGTAATGAAGAATGATGCTCAATGACTTATTTGTGCTCCAGTGATAATCAAGATTTAGATTCCAGAAAACAATTCCTTTGTAGGAAGTAAATTTGTAGGTGGGAAGAATCCCGTTGCTTTTGGGGCCTACCTAAGTTATACAAAGTTTCTCGTAGATTCCTACATCTTATTGTACAAAAATCACTTTCTTTCTCTCTCCCTTTTTTCCTTTGTCAAGGTCTTACTATGTAGGCTAGACTGGCCTTAAACTCTCTATGAAGCCAAAGGTGACCTTGACTTCTGATCCTACAGCTCTTACTTCCCTAATGCTGGGAACTCTTGACCTTCCTGCTTCAGCCTCCTGAGTACTAGGATTACAGGCACGCACTGCTAGAACCCAGCTAAACACTTTAAAATTTTTTAATAACTAGGGAACAATGTTAATGGAAAATTAACATTGATTTTATACATTCAAGATGGGCAGTAAAAACGCTTACAAACCTTGTACTACAACATCAGGTTTGACTGAAGTAGCAAATCTTCTATTTAAGGGATCAATTTCACCAGTGGCAAGGAATCCCTAAGAAGAGAGGAGCATTAACATTATGAAACACTGCTTTAACTAAGATTTCGCCTTGTTCCCACAGTTGAAAACAACATATTTAGGGGCTCAAACAGTCAAAAACCTTTTCTTCATATTTGTTGATTGTCTTTCTCCCCATAATAGAGTATACTACTCAGAATGCTACTGATCAATGTATTATATGCTTGGTGCTTAGCTCTGAGGGTTACTCAAATACACCCCACATTGTGTGAGTGAAAGAAAGCTATGACTAGTGCTAGCCGAGTTCCTGCATGTGCACTGTCACACCCAAGTCTCCTATGTCCATCACTGTTCTACAGATGGAGAAGCTGAAAGTGCTATAGTGAGACTTTGGTTCAGGGCTGCCTGCTTTGGAACATAAAACTCTTGCCATCTTGTTATCTGAGCTCTTTCAAAATATACCTTTTTGCACTTTCTAGGAATCATCCAAGCATCCAAAGGGGATGAAGGTGACATGAGATGGAATGGACCTACTGCTGGGCCCATAGGGAGACTTTTATATTGGAGAGGAGGTCTCAGGGGAGTGGAGTTATTTATTTCCTACCTTACATGTACTGAAATCTGAGCTGAAATGCACCGTGCAGACAATTAAGCCCAAATTTTCACTTTACAGGTGAGGCAACTGAGGCCCAGAGAGGTTAAGAGACCTGCCAAAGTCACTGCTGGCTTAGAAAAGGATATATGTGAACTGCTATAAATTAAGCTATGACCGTGAAACTTGGGAGATTAAACATACCTGGGAACCACCTCAGCAACCAATGTTCCCAGGTGATGTGTCCACTGTGCTATCTTTCACGGTCTTTACCACTCCAGTGCCCCAGTAACATTCTGATGCACTGTCCTCTTCCCCACTTTTATAGGTGGCGAAGCACACAGGCTGGCCAGCCTCATGTGGTCAGTCCCTTTCTTCTTTAGACTCCTTCCCCACACCAGATTTCTCAGCTGAAGTTTCTCACTCAAGACAGGGAGATGCATTTTAAAGCTTTTCCAACAGAAGCCTGGAGGCAAGAGGGTATGGGTCAAGAGGAGGGTTGGTGTGGGCTGCGGTATCTGAAGGATGATATGTGCCTGCTGTTTCTTTCTAGCGAGAGATCTGAAGAGCCCTTCTGCTTCTGTGTATTGGGCTGAGAGAGCTTCTAGCCCATATAATAACTTCCTAAATCCTGTCTCTTCTAAGATCAGATGTGCTAATCTTGGCTAAAAAATGTCCCCATGTCTGCTGAGCAGCAATGCAAACAGATTCTAACTATGTACTAGAGATTCTGGTGAGAGGGAGCCAGGGGGCATGGCATGTAGCTGATCTGACCTGGTTTATTAAAATATGGATATGCAAGGCCAGAGAAAAGACAGGCTCCCAAAACAGCCCAGGCGACCTTGAAGGTAATGAAGCTGCACGCGCTGCTGGCAGTCACTCAGTACAGAGAACCACTGTGCTTTTCCCAATTTCCTAGACTCCAATCAGACGGATGGCTTTCCACCCTCGAAACCCTACCTCTGCCAGCAGGGAGCTAAGGATGTACAAGGACTGTCCCCAAAGATGGGGCAGCTTCCCCAGTGGAATTCGGTCTACCGTGTGAGGGTTCTTGTACTCTTCATCCACCTGGCAGAGAAAATGAACAGTTCAAGGTTAGCAATATCTTATATTAGGGGAGCATACTGAAGATTTATAAAGCAGTTCTCAGCCTGCAGACCATTTCTGTGCAATACAGGATGATGGACTGAGAAGGCCAAAATTCCTCTCTCAGCATCCCATGACTATAAGCATCAGAGGGGGACTTCAAATCTTGATCTGGTCCTAGGCCAGTGCTCCTCCCATAAGCTTACCTGCGGCCACTGGTGATGGATGCTTGACTTGCCTGCTCTATACACAGCTGTCGGCAGCAGGAAGCGCCATAGTTTTTGTTTGTGGGTGGTTGTGTTCTCATAAAAAAACAACCAGCAGTCTGTATAAGCAGAGTGCATAGCTGGATGTCAAGCCTGGTTTCTTCTTCTGGCTTACCATCCCCAGGGACGTGTGCCCATGCAAGAAAATTACCAGAAGGTGGCACTATGCGTTGAGGAAAACCAACAGTGCTGCTGCCACTCCCCAGCCTACCTCCTTCAGAAAGTGGAGTTTTCCGGGAGCTTTATCTCATCAGCATAAGCTTCTGCGCTTTTTTGTCCTAGCAATGCCTGCTTGTTTTGAGGACAGTGTCAGCTACATATGGGATGCTCTTCTAAACTCCATGCTTCCTTTAAGGCTTTAGTCATTGAAACATTGATTAGGGTAGTTACTCAAAGGAAATAGAAAACATTTATCCATCTACAAGGGCAAAAATGGTATGACAAATGTTTGTGTATGTGGGGTTCATTCTCAGTACTGTGGATTAACCAGTGGTACTATTAATATACTTAGAAAAGATTAATATTTCTTGGTAGTAAATATTTTTTAAAAAACAAGTTTTTCACACACTGAATGGAGTTGTCACTGGTAGTCAAAGAGTCAAGAAAGAAATAGCATGGAAGGATATTCTTCAGAATATAATTCTGTGGTTGCTACTGGGTCATACATTAGGGATAACAAATGTTTTCTTCTTTCTACAGAAGTCTGCATAGATTTTACAATGATAGAATTACTTTTACAATTGGCTAGCACATTAAATACACATCAAATACATTGAAATACAGCTATTAAGGAAGACTGCAAGAATCTAGAATGAGAACTATCTAAAGAACAGAAAGCCCACAAACTTTCTAGGTCAAAAAAATAAACTTGTTCTGCCCTCTTTTCCACTAGAGTTCAATTCTATCTCTTCATGGAAGCACCCCTCTCCTCCCTACTCTGGTCCCTCTGAACGACTATTTATAGGTGCATGTGTACCCCATCTTTGCTTCCATCTCTCCTATAGCTGTCTCCACCTCCTAGCCTAGTTCCACTTTCACCTTGCCTACATACTCAATGAAACAGAACCACCTTGTGTACTACTCGCTAAGCTGTGTCAGGCATGGAGTGGCTGCTCACTACATGTTTGCTGGACATACCTTCACTAGTCCCCAGCTGTGCAATGAGGGTCCCCAGACAGTAGCACCTTGCCCAAGCATACAGGCTGCATGCCACTGCAGTCCCAGACTTTTTCTAATTTGCACAAAGCTGCCATAGAGGTTTGTAGTATCTTGCAAGATTCCTTCCCAGAGGTCTCAGTATGTGTTATTGATTTGACCAAAGACCCTTGCCAACTCTCACTTGCAAAGCCAACACAAAATCAAATTAATGTAAAATGCTGGTACCCAGTATATAAGCTAAATACACTGCATAAAGAGGATACTGGATGACAATCAGAAACCTGTCAGTGTGATATTTAGGAGAGAGAGTTGTAGAGTAACATTTTATTATTCACAACCAGCACAATCCACCAGGAAGAAAGTGTAGCTCTGACCAAGCAGTGACAATGGTCAGTGCATGTACATTTTGGGAAAGCAGGAATGGCTAGTTTCTACCATAAAATAGGGGTACTGCCATTGAAGGTATGCATTTTCTCTTGTTTGGTTTCCACCTTCCTGACATTGATGCCTCAGTACTAGGGAATGAGCAATATGAACAAGGGACATGAAAATGTCACTAAGTGAAGTGCCCCAGACACCCTTCACCCTCATCAGCATTCACTCTATCCATGGCATACGGATACCATGGCATACGGATACAAATATAAAATGAAGTTTGCAGACTTCCTGACACATAGAAAATATTTCTGGAGGATTTCGCAACTTAATCTGTATGATGAGACATGACAGAAGTCTTGTCCTTAATGTATCCTAAGGAAGTTTGGATAATGTGAAAATGTCTGCTCATGCAACAACAAATACATGGAGTTGGTGGAAACTCAGACCCAAAGGTCTAGGCTGATAGGAGTGAGTGGAGTCTGGTCCCTGCTCCAGGGCTGTCTTAGACTGGACAGGTTCCAAAGACTCCTTCAGTATAGTCAGGCTCTTTCATGGCCTTTGGTCATGTGTGTACGGGCCTTATTCAAACACAGATTAGGTACAGGTATGTATGCTCCAAAGCTCTTTAGTTGCTGCCTCCCTAGGATATTCATGGTCAAGCATGTTCTGCATGTTTCTCAAAGCCTTAACTCCTCCTAGGAATGGATGGGAAAACTAGCCTTTAGAAAGCACTTCTGGAGAAAAAGGTCATTTGGCCTAAAAGGTGGGTGGAGAATACCTGAAAGTCAAGCCTGAACCCACTTGGCCTGGACGAGCAGCACGAGGGGCGTGGCACCACTGATTACCTTGTCTGGCGGGATGGCATAGAGTTCTGGCACCAAGTGGATCCCATCTTTGCCTCTGATTAATATTCCCTCCAGAGCTTCTCGGTATTCTTGGACCTGGAAAGCAGCCCCAGCACGTTTAGTGTGACAGAGGTTGTCAGTTCATGATGCAATGGCAATACAACTTAGAAACCAACAACACGCTAGGCCTCTTGGCAACAAATAGAGCAAAACATGCTAAAATGTTTGGCTGTAGAAGACCAGAGCGGGACTCCTGCTGACAGTGTTAGGAGAAGGGGGACACCATTGCTTGTCCCTCCTGAGACCAGCCACACTCGCCAAGTTTCCAGGGAGAGGGGAAGGGTAGCCCCCGAGGAAGTAGCTGTTTGATCCTTAAACTTTCCACTGTACTATCATTTATACTATACCAGATATCATTCCCATACTCTTATAGTTTAAATAATTTGCTCTTAAGTTGTCTCATATGTAAAATTTGTCTTGCCAAGTTTAAAACATCTTGGGCTAGAAATCCTATCTTAGGCAGCATATTCTATTTCTGCCCTAAGTGGAAGTTTTCCAATAATCAATCTTTTTCTTTTTCCTTCCTTCCTTCCTTCCTTCCTTCCTTCCTTCCTTCCTTCCTTCCTTCCTTCCTTCCTTCCTTCCTTTTTCTTGCTCTTTCTTTCCTTCCTTCCATCCCTCGCCCCCCCTTCCCTTTCCATTTCCCCCCTCTCCCCTTCCCCCCTCCCCTCCTCTCTCTTAAGGATCTGGGAGCGATGGTTCAAGTCAGTAAAGCGCAAATGTGAGGACCTAAGTCTGGATTCCCAGAATCTTCATAAAAGACCTGGTGGCACATCTTTGACCCCAGAGGGGGGAGAGAGGAGAGAGACCAAGTGGATCTTGTTGTGATATTTTGATTGCATTCTGAATTTCCCAAGACTGTCAATAAAGTTTGTTTTGATTCAAAGGGTGGTGCTAACTACTAGCAGTATGGTGGGGCTGAGAAAGGGTCTCTGCTCTTTTGGATGGAGGAAAAAGAGAGATAGAGAGGGGGGTCACTACTGCTTCTCTGATCATTAAGGTTCTTACCCTAATATCTGATCCTGAGTTTTTATTGTTAAAGAATGATTAGATAAACACATCATCTAGCATCCAACCAGGGCACTAAATCAGGAGGTAGCCATCAGGAGGTAGCCACCTCCACCCTGGTTTTGCAGCCACCAGAGCCACGCCCTCTGAGCAAATCTGGAAGTTTCCTGTTTCAGCCTCTCCACAACAGCCTCCAGCTGCTGCCCATTCCCAGCCCCAAACTCCACAGGTGCCTGGGCTCCAAATGCCACAAGTTTTAGTCACCCACCCCTGACTGGTCTGCCTTCAAGTGGTCCCATGTCCTCACTTCCTGACACACATGCTTCTTCCACACATTTCCCTGTGTCAGCATTTTAGGTGCCTGAGTCCCTATCCCTGTGAATTGTGTGCATCCCCTGAATGCCTTCTTTAAGACACTACCATACTAGGTCAGTCGCCTTGACACCTGCTTGGGCTTTTATTGCTGCTGTGACCACCACACACTCTCAACCCCCAGCTACACATGAGCAGCTCTCAACCAGGCCATGCACCACCTGTATTCTCTACCCAGCCATGCTATGTAGCAAGAGCCAGTCTCACAGTTCACTGTCATCATCATCAGATCTGATGAGACACCTGGGAATTCTTAAGGAGAGATTACTTTTTTTTTTTTTTTAAAAAAAAGGTTTTCCCCATGTAAAAAAATGGGAAACAATATTATGATGCAGGATATTAGGTCCCTGTATGGTTCCACAATGGATGGTTTGAAAATGGAACAAAATAAGGGATAATCATCTTAACTGGGATTGACATAATGTCAATTATAATCATTATCAGTTTGGTTATTCATGATTGATCCTTTAAAAAGTTGTTTGGTGTCAGTGACAAATACAAAAAAAATTGACTGGTAAGATACAATCTTTACTTAGAAAGACATACTAATGAAACCAGGAAAAATATTCACATACAGACAGGTGTTTGGAGCCGAACCTAGCACACCATTCACTGCACTATGAAACCGAAGAGGAGCAGTCCAAGGTTATTAGGAAACCAACCTTACTTTATCATCAAGAATGACCACCAGATGATAGGCATCTCCAAGGCTATTCAGAAGTTAACTGGAATCCTATAGAAGTTTTATATTTGAAGAGATTTAAGGAAGCAATAGTTTCATATGGTATGCATTCTCCTTTTGTAAAGCAGATGTTAAATTCATGGACCACTTGGAACAGAATTATTCCACGAGACTTAAAAGATTTAATTATAGCAGTATTGGAAGCTGACCCTCAGTTACAATGGAAAACGTGGTAAAGAGATAATTCAGATGCAGATACCTTAGAGAAAATGTTTGAAAAAGTAAAGAAAATTCTGCCTTATTAGGAATTACAAATTGCTCCTGAAAACATACAAAGAGGATATTTTATTAAGTACCTAGGATATAAGATAGGTTTGCAAAAATTCAACCATAGAAAGTACAAATCAGGAAATATCAATTACAAACTCTTAATGATTTCAAAAATTGTTGGGAGATAATTAACTAGCTATGGCCTAGAACTCAATTGACTACCCAGGACCAAAGCAATTTACTTCAAACCTTACAAGGTGATAGGGACATAAATAGTTCAAGAAAATTATCAGCTGAGGCTGAGAGAGAATTGGCTTCGGTAGAAAAGAAATTACAGGATGTACATGTCGATCATTTGGATCTAGAGCTTAATTGTATTCTGGTTATTTTACCTTCTATGCATTCTCCTACAGGAATTCTTATGCAGAGATAGTATCTTAGAATGGATATTTTTAACATAGAGAGTAAAAAACTAAAGAGCCATATAGAAAACGTTTCTGAATTGATTCTGAAAAGAAAATTAAGACTTTGTCAATTAGTAGGAGTAGACCCAGCAGAAATCGTGGTGCCTTTTACTAATGCTGAAAACTCCTCATTATGGACAGAAAATGAACACTGGCAAAGAGTTTCCAGTAATTTTGGGGAGGGATTAACAACAAATATCCCAAATGCAAGAGAGTTCAGTTTATAAAGAGAACTAATTGGATCCTTCCTCACATTGTACAAGGAATACCAATTTCTGGAGCCTACATTCTATACCGATGCAAAAAAAAAAATCAGAAAAGGCAAGTTATAAGTTAGGAAATTTAAGTAAAGCAGCTCCAAGTCCTTATGATTCTGTTCAAAGTCAGAATTATATGCTAGTCTCAGGGTATTATTAGATTTTCCAGAGCCTCTTTTGTGTACCATGGATATATTTAACAAATTGTGGTTCTTTAACCTCTCTGAGATTTGCTGCATATGACATTTAAAATGTTAACTTTTCTGCAGTGAACCATGACCATTCCTAACAATGACCGTTTTAAGTCTCCAAAGGATGATGGGGACCCACAATAATTCCACCTGGATCGTGGTAATGCTACTAAGCTGATAAACAACACCCAAAAATCAGCTTTGGACCACAAACTGATCAGGAAAATTTCAAGGTGGCTAGCTGAGGTGATCCAGCCTCATGCACTACTCCAGTCAGGACTTCAGATAAGCCCTATACTTTCCCATTACACAGAGACTGTCAAGAAATGATACAGCTAGCTCTCCCAGTACTTGACCATTATTTCAATTTTCTCAGGGTCCTCAGGAGATGCCATTGCTCCACACACATCAGGATGCAGTCTAGAGAACAAGACACCCACATTCCCAAGAGATTGGTTGGGTGAGTTTTGGTCATTCGGTGGGTTATGGATATTGTCATTATTTAGGTGAGTTGGTTACAAGTTGTTATTGGTAATGGTCAAGAAACAAGCTGAACAAAGGAAATTAGATTTAGGGATCTCATTCCAAAAAGAAAAAGGGGGATATAGAAATGATAGGTAGATTGTTGAATCTATTTTAAACTAAAAAAGCAACTAACTACTAGTCTTAAATATTTTACATTGGTATGGACTTGTGTATATCGATACAAATTTAAGGTTATTTTTGTTAGAACATACTGTACATATGTTTCTACTCTTATTTAAGGTATTGTACCTATGCAGCTCATTTAACAGAGTAATGTGCATTTCTAGTCTTTGAAAGTTATTACTACAAACTATTTAGGATAATAAAGAAATGCAGGTTAGCAGTCACTTTTGTCAATGAAACTTGTAGTCATGTTAGCTATACTTTCAAGGTCAAACAGAGATAGATTTTAGATAGAGCTTCTTCAAACACTTCAGAGAGGTACATAATATGACATTTAAGATATTTTAATAACATAAGGCTTTTCATGACAATGAAACATGTCTGCTCCTGGCAGCACCAATCTACTTCCTGCCTCATCTGTATCAGATCCTTGAAAAGGGCCTTCCTAGCTATGAGCGAACTTACAATATTTGATATATAATATGTGGACCCTGAATGCACAAAATAGAATGCTTGGCTAACAAGGGGAAGTGTGAACGAAAAGCTCTTGAAAGAAATCTGTGTCTGCCGAGACTGATTAGTGATTTGAATTCAGTGCTGTGGAGAGACTGGAATGCTGCAGCTCCAAAGGCTAGTGACCCTCTAGAACAGCCATTCCTTGCCCACCTCTCTGGTAGAATTAGTATCCTGTGACTAATAATAAAAACCTTCTGGAATTTTTTAATTTAGCAAACCACTGGCTTTCACCAACCTAAAAGCTCAACTAGCATCTGGAGCTTACAGAAAAGCTTCTCCTATCTCACTGTACCCACATCTCTGGTGTACCCACCCCAGCACTATATTTTAAATTTGCCTTTATTTGTGACTTACTTTCTTCTGTAAAACTAAGAAACTTCATGAAACTATTTCCATGTTGGAACATGGAGTTTGGAGTAGCCTAAGTACATGTTCCGGAACCATGGACACTTAAAATAGTTTACAGGGTAAACTATGTCTTATGCCCTTAAAAAAATATGAAGCATAGGAATTATAATCTCATTTCCCCCTGTCCCCTTAATTATTGCTAAGTCTATTTTCACTGAAACTCAAAGTTAGTCATTCTGAGAACTTTCAGTACTTAGAATAAAAGACAAGAAGGCCCAACATAAACTCTAAACACAATACAAGAGTGAATAATGAAAGGACCTTACCATTTGAAGTGTACTGCCTATGTTCCTGAACACTGGGCTTTCAAAAGCCAAAATGCATGAGACTACTGCCCACCTCCTTCTCTTCCAGACCCAGGATATGATCAGAACGGGCTCTGAGAAGCCAGAGTGAGATCCTGGTCAACAGGATCTATTGGCACTACTGAACATAGTGGAACGTAGCAGATAGGGTGTACCTGGAGGAAGTTAGTCATTAAAGTTATTCCTCTCCTTTTAACTTACTTGTTTCAGTTATTTTGTCCCAGCAATAGGAAGGCTACTAACGCTGCAGGGCAGCAGTGTAATCTAAGCTTGTCTTTTTAATAAAATCACTCGGGCTCGGGTGGAGAGGATGGGAAGAACAGGGAGTGAAGCTGGAGCTTGGAGGCAGGGGTTGATACACTAAACAAAGTCACCGTCTGCGCTGAAAGGAATAAAAGGAACACCTGTCCGAGATAGACAGGAACTATGCCTCCTAGCTCGCATGCCCTTGTCTAGTTCCCCCAACTGCCACCCTTGAGTATGTGCCATCCATTTAAGCAAGCATGTGATGGAGGCACTTCGCCAGTTCTGTTAGAAGACTTAAGGAAGCTTGGCAGCCTATGCGTTTACATTTCTGGGGAAAAGACAACTATGGCATAAAAAAATCTAATGACCCAGAGATTCTACTGCTGTGAAAAGCCCAAGTGAGGCACATGGATAAGAACCAAGTCCCTGCCGCAGCTCAGCTGAGCATCCAGCCTTAGCTGGCAGTCAGGTTTCACTCACCAGCCACGTTAATGGGACCATCTTAAGAGTAGGTCCTCTAGCCCCATGAACTATCCCAGGGGAACATGAGGAGAAGCAGAGACAATCTGTTACTGGCTCTGCCAAAATAACAGAATTATGAACAAATAAATAAAACAGCTGCTGCTTTAATTCACTAGGCTTCAGAAACGTTTTTAAAATGGCAACATATAGCTGAAACAAAATGACTCTCTGCTAATAGTGATCAGCCCATCAGTGGGATGAACAGGCTTATGAGCACGGTACCCAGCGTTTTCTCACCTGAACAGCATCACCATTGAAGATTCCATCTATGATTAAGTAAGTCCAGAACACGGGCCATTCACATTCAATGTTTTCAAAGAGCTTAAGTTCAGCAGGGTCATAATGCAGTCGATGAGGGTCCTAGAACCCAACATATAAAAGTTTTAGAAAAGGATGTTACATTTCTTACACAATGCCACTCTGCCTCACTTGGTTTCCTTCGCCTGTCTCAGTCAGTGCCGCTTTGTTATGACTAGGAGTCTACAATCAGGGGAAATGCTAGTTTGGGCAAAATTTTAGACACTAAATCAGAAATACACAAAGGACTTCTCAGTAGTTTATGACATTAAAGCATCCTATCTCTCTACGAAATAGCAATTTGTCTATGGCAGTGCTTGGCAGATGATCTGTTTCACTTATATCATAATTTATATCATAATATTAATCACTGTGGCATTAAAACCCGAGAGAAGGCTGCAAATTAGCTTTAGAAAATAACGTGCGAGCCAGATTTACTCATCCTTGATTTACGAGTTGGTTTCACAGTACCAGCTTGACCTGATGATCGTTCTTTTCTATATAACTTCAGGCTTGCTGACTCCAAAATTAATACTTTCCTTCCCAATATTCAACATGTAATTATAAGCAATAGAGGGAAAATGACACAGTGGCAAGTAGATATGGAGCAGGTAAGGAACATAAGAAGCAATATTTAAATACAACCTCTCTTGGGGTTTTATAACCATCCCGAAGGAAGCGACAACATCCATAACGCCCCTAGAAAGGTGAAAAAAAAAAAGCAGAGCTGATGAAATCGAAAGAAATTTTCTTTGCCTTTTAATTTCAACTCAAGTCAGTACTTCATCCCCTTTCCCTTGCGTTTTTCGGTGAGCAAACATGCACCAGTGTTGTTTGCTTTAATGTAAAGAGTTCTTTTGAAGTACTAAGCAAAGCAAATTCAGACTTGATGAGCATTCAGAAGAGAACACAGGAGCATTCCATCAGAGTCTGGAGTGGGGCTGCAAATATGCTCCTCAGGGACTCAGTGAATGACTATGCCTTCCCCTTCCGTGAGGTTTACAGTATCAGACATAGATACAAAGGTACCCTCGCTCGGTGAGGAAAGCACTGACATCTGAAATGGTTGGCTGCTCTGTGTATATCTGGGATGCTAAAGGCTACTCCACAGACTCAATGCACTCAGGCTGTGCATGCTGAAGGCGGTCTGCTTCAGAGGCCTCGCAAGACCTGGAGGAGGGGGAAGGAGTCATGAGGTGGAAGTATGGAGGCGGGGCCTCCTGAACTATGTGGTAGCTGGTTCACTGGCTGCAGATGTCATGGCTCCTCTCCAGTTTTCTGGGTGTCAGGAAAGCAGGCTGGGCACGATGGTGCCTTATTCCTAATCCCTGAATGCAGCTCTGGATGCCTATTCCCCAGTTTCTTTTGCAGGTGGGGCTGTCCTGGCAGGCTTGGCTATCCCTTGTCCAGGAGGTCTGTACAAGTTCTGTGTGGTTCTGGGAATCATTCCAGGGGACTTGACATAGAAGCCATTTGTCCTGTAAGCTCATCACAACTGTCCTTTCAGCTGCAGCTACCCAAATCATCCCCTTTTCTCCACAGGGCTTAACCCTTCCAGTTGCTTTCTTTTGCGAATATGATTGGAGACACTTCAATTCCTTTGTTTGCAACAGACAAAGATATTTCTTACAGAATATAGGTGGGACAATCAATATGGAAGCTTTGACCTAGGAAACTTACAAACTTGGACAATTTTATAGATTTCTGTTTGCTGAGAATGTAAGATGGTCTTAGCTTAGTGATCTGTTACTGCATGCAGTAATGGAGTCTCACCATTCAAATTCTTATTGGAATACAAAAATATAAGTTTCATTGTATTTCATAATTTTAATATTTTTATTTTATTTTGTTCCCATTTAACTATTATTTTCTTGTCTTCCTCTCTCCCTCCATTGGTTCCTTTTCTCTTTTCAAAGTCAACCTTTCTCCTTTGATGTGACGTGTGTGTGTGTGTGTGTGTGTGTGTGTGTGTGTGTATGAGATAGAGATAGAGAGAGAGAGACATCAGCCATTTACTTAATCCCTGTCCTTATTTTTCTGTGACAGAGACTCTCACTGAACCTGGAGTTTACCAATTCTGCTAAACTGGTTGGTCAGCAAACCTGACGAATCCACCCATCTCTTCCTCCCCAATGCTGGGATTATGGGTTGTGAAATGGTTGCTGGGGATCTGAACTCAGGTCCTCATGCTTGTACATCAAGCACTTGGATATGTGCTTTTGTTCTGGCAGGGTCTATAGAGCTTTCAAGAGATTCTGTAAGGACTCTTCCTATAACCTCTAAGCAGTGGTTCGCAACCTTCCTAATGCTGTGACCCTTTAATACATTTCCTCATGGGTTCCTAATGCTGTGACCTTTTAATACATTTCCTCATGTTGTGGTGACCCCCAACCATAACATTATTTTCGTTGCTACTTCACAGCTGTAATTTTACTACTGTTATGAAACATAATGTAAATGTCTGATATGCAGGATATCTGATATGCAACCACTATGGGGTTTTCATGAAGTACAGGCTGAGAACTGCTGATCTAGGGAAACCACGCCATGAGCTATAAGGATAAGTTAGATGCCCCATGTCATCACATAAACGTGGCATTTAATGCAGAACGGGGGGGGGGGCATTGGCCAATGCTTACCTGAAGCTTGGAAATAATTTCATTTTTGGTCACATTCACAAGGTTCACATCTTCTACTGCAAAGGCCGGGAAAGAAATAATAGAAAGAAGTCCGGCATCGATTTCTTTAGATGTTGATGCTCGTGGCAACATGGAGAAAAGAATTGACTGAATAAAAAATAAAAACAAAGAAGTGGTTTCAGCTCTAAAAGCAGGACTAGCTAGATAGAGTAGCTAGGGACCATCACCTTAGCCTACAGGAAACGTTCAAAGGAGTTTGTCTATTTGGAGAAGGACTCAGTCTTACCAGCATGGCATCGGCTGGCCACCCCTGCTTACCCAGCCACCCAGACAATGCTTCCTCTTCCTTGGGTGAGGAAGGGGGAGTTGAAGAGAACATGCCAGTCTGAGGCTTGTGCTCAGAACTGCCATCTTCCCTTCTTCCCATGCTCACTGATGGGGAAGAACTACCGTGCTGTTTGTGTCAGTGGCTATGAAGACAGAAACCAGACAAAAACATTCACACAGCACCAGCAACAGAGAGACAGATGCTTTTGTGAAACGGGACTAGATGAGTTAGGTAAGTTAAAAAACTGCTTTAATGAGGAGTAAAATTAAGATCTCCTGAGTGCCGGACAAAACAGTTTAGTTCCAGAACTTTTAAAGATTATCGGAGGCACTATGATAGTACCTCAACAATGAGGTAGCTAGATTAAGCACTATAAATGTAGAAGGGGGTTAGAATTATAAGGAAATGTTTGGAAAAGTAAAGGAAGTAATGTTGAGATAAATGTACAGATAAAAAACAAGATCATTAAATATTCCATCTGAAGCTAGAAATAAGGTATTATACCAAATTAATACACAAGGACTCTGAGGCACAGGATGCAAGCCCCAGGTCATGTAGCCAGTGATCGAGCTACGATTCTAACCCAACTTAAACTTTCCCATTACACTATATATCTACTAAGACACATACCAGTCAGTATTTCTTTATTAATGTATACTGTAAGAAAATAGCATAGATTCATTAAGGGCTATGCTTAGTGAGGAAAATGGAATGAGCTGGAAGGTGGGGCTGAGTGGAACTCTTTAGCTCTAGAATAAACCTTTTTTATGGTCAATCAATTCTTGGCTCAGTTCTTTAACTATAGTCATGAACCACTTAATGAGTGGAACATTCTGAGAAAAATAATATTAGGTGATTTCATCATTGCATAAATATAGAGTATGCTGACAAACAGATCATATAGTTTACTACACGCACAGGCTGTGTGGTACATTTTGGTCAATAAGAGACAAAATACAATATGATACCACAATATATGCCATCCGTCGTTGGCCAAAATGTAACTAAAAAGTACATGGTTATAATCACTTATTTTCACAGTCTCTCTGCCTGGAAACACGAACTCTCACTTGAAGCTTTTGACAAGTGTTTGGGGTTAGGTTTTTTTGAAGAAAGGGTCTCATGTAGCTTAAGATAGTTAAGTTGTAGTTAAGCTAGCCCTGAACTTGGTAATTCCCTCAGTAGCTGAAGATGAGCTTGAACTTTTGGTCCCCGTGCCTCTTCCTTCCTGGGATTACAGGCATGTACCATCAAACATGGTTCACTACTTACAAGTTATGTTTCTGACTCACTTTAGTCCCAGCACATAGTAGGCCCACACTAATAATTGCTAATAATAATTAAGGACTTTCTGCTTGATGGCACCCCTTACACTGTACCAATCATTCCTGTGATCTGTATTTCAAAGAAGCTCTATAAATTTGCCATCTCTCATTCCCCTCTCCCCTCACCTACTCTGTACACCATGCCTCCTCACTTCAAGTGAAATGCCACTTGTCAGCCACTCCATTTGGGAACACTAAGAATGAAGCTGTGAGAAAAGCACTTACATACTCAAAAAAACATAGAACAGATTTCGCTTCTAGCAGAACCAAGCCGCTTTGGCTGTTAGCTCCATGTACAGAGACTCACCATGGTTTATGTCTGCACGGTGCTTTCTGGCTACAAAGCACTTGGGCAAGTTGGCCAGGTTCATTTACTCTGCTCCTTACAGTTACTCTGTGAGGCGGGAGTGAAGGCACCTATACCACTTTATAGATGAGGAAGCTGAATCACAAAGAGGTCATGTCAGTAACCGGGAAGTGGGGCCCAAGGCTTTCTTAGCTTGGATTCTCCTCCCCTATTTTGTGGAGCCTATGTTGAGGAGGTCGGAAGGAGGCACACTGAGTATCTTTAGCCTGAGATTCACACTAGTGGCCTACAGGCTGGATGTTACCTGGCAGTGCTCCACTTCATCAGGTAGGACATGGATGACTGATTTGCGTCCTCCATGGGCTCCAAAAAGATCGAGTTCGTCAATTGCCTCAAGTGCTGCCTACAAAAACAGGTAAGAATTACTGGTCTTTTTAATAAACACACATGCATCCTAACTTGGCACTCCCTTTTCATTATGCAATCTAACATACACATTTCTGCTATGGGCAATGAAGAATGTCTTTAAAATCTATCTAGAGTCCTATCGCCATGGTCTCTCTTCATTTTCAGTAGCTCAGAGCTTTGCAGGATGACACTGTTCATTCTATGAATAAGAAAGAAAACAGGAAAACATTTCCTCATATGAAAGTGATATTCTACCCAAAGACAGAAAATTAACAAGTCGCTAACATCATGTGTGGGGGCACAAAAAATTAACTCAGGACTGGCTTTCCGTTTACCTATTTTTGCAGTTAACCCACCTCATGGCTAATTGAAAAAGTTAATTAGGTTTTCAGGAAAAAGTACATTTTCTGTCAGTTTGCTGTATTGGAGCATATTCATTGTTGCTTTTAAAACTGTGGCTCTGGAACCTTCATGCTGTCTAAGTAGTTCATGCCTACATTGAGAAGGAGGTGGGAAGGCTGCACACTGAATGTCTTTAGAAAGAGATTCACACCAGTGGCCTCCAGGGGGAATGTGCCCCACAGGTCCACTGTTCAGCTTTAAGAGTTCTCCCAACCCATTTTGTCTTCTGTTTCCACTCTTCTTGTCTCCATCTCTGTCCTGTCTTATCTCATTGCCTCTCTTCTCTTTTTCCTTTTTAGAACAGGGCCTCACTGTGCTGCCCAGATTGGCCCCAAACTCCTGGGTTCAAGTCACCATCCTGCTTCAGTTGGAATTAGAGGCACACATTACAGTGCTGGCTCGAAGACCATTTTTTAAAACTGAGTTTTAGTTGAAATACTTTCAAGGAAAGATCACAGCATCCCCAGTATCCCTCTTGCCCTGTTCTCTTTTTCTCTGACCAGCTTTACTGATTATTGTTACTTCTCTGACCTTGTAGACTTGAAGCTGTGCATCTCACCTACAAAATTCTCCTGTTATTTAACCTTCACCATGACCTAGAGAGGAAGACTGGCCATCACTAACACAGCTTAACAGCAAGAGCTTGAACCCATGGGTGACACATCAAATAGTAAGGGTGGAAGAACTTAGTTTCTGTCACATTCAGACTTCAGTGTTGGAAATCTATCTTCCCGACCTTTAACTTCACTTGGCTGGGCTACAGGTGCCACTTGGATTTCATGTATTTGCTGCTGACTTTCGAAAGAAAAAACTAATCATATTAAATTCAAATTCCTGAAGAAGAGAAGCCGACAAAAAGTCAACCCACACAGAAGGGAGAAGAGGACTGTCACCTTGGCCATTCCCACAGAGCTGGCGTTCAGTTCTGGAATGCCCTGATTAGTCTTATCTCCACGTTCCCACATTCCATAATCCTGCGGAGAAAAAGGCAGCTATCAGAGGTGGGAGGTACATAAGAAATACTATGGAAAAGCAATTTCTTTCTGCTAGCACAAACACAATGAAACAGGAGGATGGCTTCTCAAAGGCTTTGTGGCTGTATATATTCATTCTGCTCTTGCTCAAGTTCAGCTCAGGAGCTGTACAGAATTTTAGAAGAAAATACTCACGTGGAACAAAAGAACACACAAAGACACTCTGAAGGCTTATTTCTAAAAGGCATTAATTTGTAACAAACTCAATTTGCAGTGAACATATATATTTTACTTATCTTAAAATCAAAGTGTTGCCTTTCTATTTGGTCAATGCCTTTGAACTTATTTAAAACAATTTCAAAAACTATTTTTAGCATTACCTCTGTCTAAAGAAAATGTTCATCAAGGAACTAAAGCCGTTGTCAAAAATAACTCACTGAACACAAAAGGTGTTAAAGACCCATTCATACAAATTAATTCAGAAGACTCAATACATACATCTATCTATCTATCTATATATATATATATATCTGGTGATTCATATTTTTATTAAAAAACCCAACTGTTACATGTTGATTCAAAATACTTCATACACTACTGAAAGAGCAAAAACCTAACAAGATTCAACATGACTGCCTAAACATGACACCATGAGCAAATAAGATACCAACAGACATGTACAATGAAAGAGGAAAGGATCATGAAGCCTCAACCATCGAAAGAACTACAGGCAACTAAGGAATACTGGCAGTGGGAGTAATAGTCTTCCTCAAGGAGGAGCACACCAATCGGTTATCTGACACCAAATAGTCCTGAAAACATATGTATGTATGTATGTGTGTGTATGTATGCATGTATACACACACACATAACATAGAGACTGACTAGATTATATTTAGATATTTAATGAAAAAGGGCCATGAATTTGAAAGAAAGCAAGGGGGTATATAGGAAGGTTGGGAAGGAGGAAAGAAAGGAGGAAATGACATAATTATATTATACTCTCAAAAAAAAAATAAAAAGAGCAGGGTTGATGTCAAAATATCAGTCTTTATTTTTACTATCCAAAGAAGAATGATGGACATAGTGGCTCTTACTATGTGAAGTCATGAAAATTGAAAATTAGACTAATGACATGGATTCAGGGGTGGTAAAGACTTCAAAAATATGAAAACAACCAGGTATAGCACTCATGCCTGCAATCCCAGCACCTAGAAGGTAGAGGCAGAATTGCTGAGTTTGAGGTCATCCTGCCTCAAAAAAAAAAAAAAAACCCTAAAAAAGTAAAAATAAAAAAAAGAACAAAAACCAAACCAAACCAAAACAAGGAAGAACATTTACAAATGTAAACACAGAAACCTAGATATACCAGGGTCATTGTAGACCCTTGTTGGGAGCTGTGAACCCCCAGATCCTGAATTTCTTGTAAACAATGCGTTATGCTTGCAGCTGCTCTGAGCTCCAGACCCTCAGGGGTTCCTGATGGCAGGAGAGTGGTTTCTGGTGGGTTTGGCTGGGGCGTGGCTATCAGTTAAGGATCCCTATATAAGCTGCCCCTGGACACAATAAAGGGGGCATTCTTGGGGAATTCAAGGATGACCTGTGTCTCTGTCTGTGTGTCTTTGTGTGTTTAAATCTTGCCCAGCTCGCGAATGGTCCTGTAGTGCAGGCACGGCAATACAGGAGTAGTACAGGCGCTACAATACAGGAGTAGTATACTGTCACGTAGTACAGGCGGGCGCTACAGACCCTGACCTGCAAGCAGGCCTTGTAGGTAGACCCATGTGTCTTTTCTCATGCCTGCGCATTCTTTTGCTCCTAAAATTCGACACTCCAATCTAGCAGCTAGAAAACTCATCCTTGAAGACTGTGTGATGTGTTCAGCCTCCATTTCAGATAACTATTGAGCACTAGTTTCTTCTCTAGCAGATCCCGTCAAAGATTCTCTGCATGGCCATAACAGCTAGAGTCTGGCCTCCTTCAGCATGCCAGCAAGTCGACAAGACACTCCACTGTTTCCAGTGTCAATTTTCACCTGGGTCTTTACTCTGCACCCTCTACGCCAAATGCTCCCAACCTCTGCTCTCCCTAAATCACACTTTCCCCGTCCCAGCCTGTTCCTGTTGCTCACTCCACTATTCCTGCACTCAAATGCCCGTTCTCTCCCTTTCTTATGGAAACCCTACTTATCTCCCAAGGTCTACCTGAAAGCATACCTTCCCCACAAAAATCTCTTAAGTTTCTTTAGACAGGCCTATCAACTTTGATGCTATTGACATTCTGAGACAGGTAAGTCTAGACATAGGGTTGATGTGAACTCATTTCATGTTTATACAGATAGCGTGGCCTTCTCTGCCTGTGGGTTGATGGTGTAAATGAACCCCACGGTGCCCCAGTTCCCACTGAGGCATCAACATGGCTCCTTTTGCAGCCCAATGTAGACCAGCTCATACATATCCTACAGGGCATTTTAATACATTACTGAATACAGTAATGTATTCAGACAGAGTGTGTGGTACATTCCAAAATGAAATCCATATCCCAGGACAAAAACTAAATACTTTGCACACAAAGGCGACACATTCTGACAGCTCTAGTTTCACTAACGTTCTAGTGAGCCACAAATAGCTGCTTTCACAAAATTGAATGATTTTATTTGATTTTTTGACAACTAGAAAAAAGACTACCAGCATGGGTACTTACAGCAACTTTATACGCAGCTTCTATGTAAAAGACAAGATTCTGTATGAAGGCCACTTCATCGAGGGTGAAAATAATACGCAAGCCTAACAAAGAAAAGTGATACCGTGAAGACAGTTGCCAGTTATACACAAGCATTTTGCTAGCAGATAAGTCTTTTGATCCTATCTTTTCTTTTCTTATTTGGCACCGAAGTAACTCTGAAGTAAGTCCTTCACAAAGTGAGGGGAGCTCCATCACTGAGGGTGTGTCTATGGGAAGAAAGTTCGGAGGTAAGGCATGGGTTCTCTGGAACATGTTATGTTTGTGTAGAGAAGATTCCAACAAAGCAAAGATTGGAGTCCAGAAGTATCATTCCCTAGCCTTGAGTGAGCCAAAGGAAAGCCTGCACCTGCCCAGGTAGAGGCTAACTTCTGTCTATAGGTGTCAGCCTGGGCCCCTGCATTCCCTGCCCTAGCAAGACACAGATGCACATGACCCCACAGGGAAGAACACTTTTCCTCTGTATAATCTACTAGTCATTTATAGCACTTGGTATGTTCTCAGTGTGTCCCTCTGAAATTCAGTGTTACTAATGTGACAGTACTAAGATGCGGGGCCTATATGAGTTTAGACCATGGATAAATGAGGGCCCTTGGGAAAGAGGCTACACACAGCATTCAGTTCTTAGTCCATCTGCCGTGTAAAGACAAAGCCTTCTACTTCTTCAGGGGAGGCAGTTCTCACCAGACAGCTCAACTTGTTGGTACATTAATCTTGGAATTCTCAGCCTCTAGAGTTGTGAGAAAAGAAACTTCTATACTATTTGAATTCCCCAGTCTAGGGTATTTTGTTATCACAGTACAAATGGACATTACCCCCTTTACTTTCTGAAATGTCACTCGAATGGCCATGGCTCACCTGAGGCTGTCATCTGGGCCAGGAACAGGAGGAAGAGGGAGGTGGCATCCACCTGGAGGTGGCCCCACTGGTCATCACCCACCACGGTACTGCAAGTAGCAGTGTTATACTTGGCGTGCAGACTGTCCTTGGTGCTCTGAGTGTGCTTGAACTTCTCCACTTTGTCCACCTGAGGACGAAGGCAAGCTGGGTTCACATAACTGTACAGGTTCCTAGCTGGCAGACGGCATATCTAAGGATAATCACTGAATCTTCTAGACCTCTTATGTGTGACACCTCTGGGAGCCAGGAGGATGGGCAGTGGTTGCTGATGAGCACTGCACACAGGGGCCATGATGGAGCTTCTTCCCACTCACTCAATGGAAATACCTCAGCCCAGAGATCATAGAGGAGGCTCAGGTCAAAGGTGTCCTTGTCAAAAGACTCCCCAGCAGGGGCAAATGGTACGTTCTCAAGGACATAGGGAAGGAAGGAAAAGAACCTGTCTAAATGCCAACTTCTCTTTTCTTAACATCACAAAGAACAAAAGAGTGCAATGTCTTTGGCTATTCCAACTAAGGATGGGGTGGGAGCACATGACCCTCTGAACTGGTACAGATCCTAGTAGAAGGTTCTGTGTATAAACATTATAATAAATTGTTTCATTTGCCTTACACTGAAGATGTAAGTAAATAATAATGTCAACTTTTGAACACGAATTACATTTATTGATCTTCTGTGTGTATGTGTATGTGTGCAGGCAGGCATGTGGGCGAGGGCAGAGGCCAACTAGTATGTGGGTGCTAGCACTGAACTCGGGTCTTCAGGCTTAGTGACGACTATTCATCTAGCTGGCCCCAATAATGACAAATTTTCACAATGGAAGCACTTGATCTGAAATGACAACACCCAGAATAAAAAAATAAGTAGTGCATGGGTTTCTCTGAGTGCTTTTAATATCTTTTCTTAATCGAAAAAAGACATGTTCTCCTTTTATACACATAAATCTTTGAAAGAGGACTTTAAGAACTGTCCTTTGAAACGATGGTTCCTAAGCACAATAAAAATTATTGAGGGTAGTTTTAGAAAAAGAAAGTAAGCAAAAAACATTTCTGTTTTTTCTTGAGAAAGTTCCAAATGTAAGATGCCATCCCAATTAGTGACGCAAATGCACACTCCAGTGCTCCAAAGGTACCAGTCTGTCACGTCCCACCTACCTGTCTCATCATGCACTGCAGGAGACCTCGCATCAGCTTCACCACGTTCTGTGGAAATAAAGCGGCATCAGGAACAAGGCTTCAAGAAAACCGATTACTCATACATGGCCAAAAAGCCAGTGCTATCTGGCAATATTCCAAAAATGACAGATCCCAACTATACAAAAAGTATTCTGATTGATCACATTATTGAGACTTTTCTACTCCATCACAAAATAAATGCTTTGACAAAGTGATTTATCTCAAATAAAAGGGTTGGAGCAGATGCATCTTTGGGCTCTGACATTTTTATGAGCTTTGTAATCTGGAACTCTATGGTACATTTCTTAGTAATTTATTTTTGTTACACAAAGGACGAATTATGCCTGCCATGCCTGTCCAAAAGTAATGATACTTTGCCAAAGGAGCCATTTGTGACACCATTATTGGATCATTGAGCAAAGTTCTTACAAAATATCTGATGTGGGAGTGATTTCTTATTAATAAAGAAACTGCCTTGGCCCATTTTATTGGATAGAAAATTAGGTAGGCGGAGTATACAGAAGAGAATTCTGGGAGAAAGAAGGTTAGAGGAAGAGTCGCCATGATGCTCCCACTCCAGACAGACGCAGGTTAAGATCCTCTCTGGTAAGCCAGCTCATGGGCTACACAGAATATTAGAAATGGGTTAGAACAATATGTAAGAGCTAGCCAATAAGAAACTGGACCTAGCCGGGCCAGGCAGTGTTTGAAAGAATACAGTTTCCGTGTAATTATTTCTGGGTATAAGCTAGCCATGCGGGCGGCCGGGTGCCGGGGACGCAGCCCCGCCGTCCCTATTTCAACAGGTATCCAAGATTTTTTTAATAATATTGCAACTGATTACTATCACTATCATTAGCATTCCAAATCATAATAATGTGGCCGAGTGGTGGTCATGCACACCTTTAATCCCAGCACTTGGGAGGCAGAGGCAGATGGATCTCTGAGTTCGAGACCAGCCTGGTCTATAGACCTAATGATAATAATACTACATTAATTAATTAAATACTCTATCCAGACACTGTGAAAAACATTTTATTTATATTATTTTGAATTCCAGCACCAGCTTTACAAGGTGGGTAGCATTTTCACCCCAGTCTCTACATGAGGAACCTAAGCCTGAAGCAGATGAAGTAACATTTCTCAACTCTCTGTGATGACAAGGGGCGTAGAAAAACAGAACCTAGATAATCAGATATCATGGACTAAAAGAAGTTTCTACTTACAGGCATGGGTGTATCATGTCACACACTATACCTTACAGGGGGCAGCAGAGTAAAGGGGCCTGAGAGTTCATGGCCAGGGAAGAGTCTGGAAGTCAGACCCTCCCTCCTCTAAAATCCTAGGATCCTAGAAGATAATTCCATTTTTTTGGTTACAAAATCTGTTGGGGAAGAAGATGTTACCTCAAATATAAGTTAACACTGTTATAATGGTTAACTGTACACAGCATACACGTTTGTCAACTGACTTCCTCTCAAACTAGGAAAAGCTATTTCCCATGAAAAGAAATGAGTGACTTCCAACTTGGACTGATACTGCTAATCACCAGTCGTGGGGAAGCACCTAGAAATGTGGGGTGGGGCATTCTAATCAGAACAATGACAGAGGTGGGGATTATTGGAATTTAATGATCAGGTTAGAGTCCTGAAATATCCCCAAAATGCACAAGACAATCTTAATCAAGCCCCAGATGACCCTTAAATAAATATTACTCAAAGATGCCCAGTGATTATTATTTTTCATAATCAAGGGTGATATTTCCATTAGTATTTACTTATTTAGTATCACTATGCAGCCTTGGATGGTCTGGAACTCATTATGTAGATCAGGCTGGCTTCAAACTCAGAGATATAGCTGCCTCTCTCTTCTGAGTAGTGGGATTAAAGGTGTGTGCCAACTATGCCTAGTCCCAGATTTTAGTTAGTTTGTTTATTTATTTATTTATTTATTTTGGTTTTTCGAGACAGGGTTTCTCTGTGGCTTTGGTGCCTGTCCTGGAACTAGCTCTGTAGACCAGGCTGGTCTCGAACTCACAGAGATCCGCTTGCCTCTGCCTCCCGAGTGCTGGGATTAAAGGCGTGCGCCACCACCGCCTGGCCAGCTTTTAGTTTATTAACCACACATCAAATAGTAAAAGACATTAAGTATGAAACATATGGTCTGTATGAGTTTCAGTAAAGGAACAGAAAATTTAATCAACCTTAGTGATTGTGTGCGTGTGGGTGCGTGTGTGGTGTGTGTGTGTGTATGTATGTATGTATGATGGGAGAGTTGCAAGACACTCGACATAAAATTATTATACCAGCAAATAACTGGTGCACTCATCCATCCCTCTTTCTGGAGGAGCAGCCAGTGACTGCTATTTGTAATTTTAAAAAACTTTATATGCTTTAAAAACTGAGTGATTTCATCACCTCACACTGAGCAAGCCCTGGTCAAATCCAAGCTTTGCTCCCAGAGATAAGCTTCCTTTCTGAGCTTTCCCACAGTTATCAAATTTCCTTCATGCTGCTTATCACTCATGCCCATTTGGGTTACTATAAACAAGCAACAACTGGGCCCAATCATCCACTAGCTCTGAAGGCTGCCCAAGGATGTATGAATTAAAGATAAATCCTAGGACATTTGGTACGGTGTGTGCTTATCTTGTGTGAGGCCCCAAGTTCAGTCCCCATCCCTTAAATTCCATCTGTAGAAAGATAAATCTCAAATGTTCTCATGCCAGGACGATTATACTTTTCCATTTCAGGGCTCCTTACCTAAACACTAGTACTCAAAACATTTGGAAAATATTTGTCCAGTACTGGAGATTAAATCCAAGGCTGCTAGCATGCCAGGTAAGCATTTTAGCACTGGCTCACATCCTTCCTCTGAGTTTGGAAACCTTCATTGAGCTATACGGCAAATAACATAGACACAAAATTTAAATAATGCTCAGATCTAAAGGGTGAGTATGAAAGAGTAAGACTCACTTCCTGGAGAATGGTACAAAGTAGAGAGGCATTCTTAAAGGACGTCTAAGAACTGTTTTAAGGAATGGCAACGGCATTTAGATAATATTCTTTGGAATATAACCACACACCCTAAAAAGCACATGCTTTGGGATGTCTAGCTCCCATACATTGGATTTTTTGCTTTCTATTTTTTTTCTCATTTGGTGGCCAGGGTGAAGAGTTGGTAAATGTGGTGGATGGCCATGCATCGACTCTTCACAAATAATCATACCATGAGAGAGAAATATAACCAAGTAGGCATATTAACATGTTGGGGGTAGAAATTTGGATGGTTTTGCTTTCCATTTAATGTGCTGTGTGATGTTATTGTTTTATCTCAAACACAAAGATAAACGTGAGGTGCAACCATCTGAATGCCTTCACAAAGTATGCTGTTGCAGAAATGAAAGACTGCACCCTGTTATGCACATACAATGATGTGCTCATCGGTTTTCTAGTTCAAGAGAAGGTACAGAGCAGACAAGACACTGATGTCAGTCACAATTACCTGTTCCAACTCATAGGCCTTTGCTTTATCCTCATCACGGTCAGCATTCTTGCGGTAGGCCATGCCCAGGCCCCAAACAGCCAGGATGCTGTAGATGTTGTCTCGTACCCAGGCATCCTTCTGGTCATGGCTGGCTGATAACAGCCCAGTGACTGGGTTCTAATTAGAGAAGAGACACAAAAATGTTTGGCATCCATCACCCTTCCTAAATCTCCTATGCAATTAATGTTTCCCTGTGCAAGTGGATGAGGACTCGAGAACAAAGAGCACAGAGAGACCCGAGTTCCTACTCTCTGTATCTTAGATGCCTTGCTCGTGTAATTAGGAGATAAGAAAACCTCTAGGGAACATTTTAATTGTTATGTTCTTCTTCAAACCTTTAGACCAGACCAAACTGCTGTAATGTCTAAAAGAGAAGAAACACCAAACAAAAAAAAGTCTACCAGGCTTTAGCAAGCTGCAAACTGCAGGCTTCAGGTCTTTTTGGCCTTCATGTTTCTAATCAGTTGATAAGGCACTGAGCCTAGGAAAATTCTGGGTTCTGATCCACCTCCTAGCTCTATGAGGTCAGAAAAAGCTACCAGCCTTGTCTGGACCTCAGCTACCATGTCTGCAATCCAGATAATTCATTCATCTGACCAGAAGAAGCTATGTAGGAGGGCATATGGGAGGCCTCATTAGATGTGATATCACAGATGTGTTCGAGAAAATCAGCAGAGTCAACAAAAAGGATTGGACCTTCTCATGAAAAGTTACACACAATGTTCATAACAGCATTGTTCATAAATGCTGAAAAGTAGAAGTGGCAAGTTATCTATCAACTGACAAAAGAAAAAAAACATTTTTCCACTTTTTTCTTAAAAAAATTATTTTATTTTATGTGTATATGTGCTTTGCCTGCATGTATGTATGTATACCATGTGCAACGCCTGGTACCCACAGAGGTCAGAAGAGAGTGCTAGATTTCCTAAAACTGGTGTTAAAGATGGTTACAAATCATGTGGGTGTTGGGAACTGAACCTGGGTCCTCTACAAGAGCAAGTGTTCTTAACCACTAAGCCACTCAGCCTGGTTTTCTCTTTTCTTTATAAAGGACATTAAAGTTAATTGGGGTGATGGATGAACGACTCCATGAATATACTACAAAACAATTGTGTACTTTAAATAAACAAATTCTGTAGTACCCAAACAATGTCAATAAAGCTATTTACATATTTGGGGTTATTGGGGATTGAAACTGGAGCATCTTTCATGTTAGGCAGCTATTCTACCATCAAACTATATCCCTAGTCCAATATTTTTAAAGCCAACCCTAATAAACACTCTGAGCCCATAAATAAAATGGTTAAGAAGAGTCACATGAAGTTGGCTGACTTCTGAATATATACAAAGAAATATGTATATAATAAAATATACTTCCACAATTAGAACCTTGCCACCTTAAAAAATATCTTACTTGCCAGTTTACTACATTACCTGTACTCTTCCTACCCACTGGTTTTTGTGAGCCACCCAGACAGGTCTGTCTTTAGAGGCCCGGGGTCTTTTTTTTCCCTCTTTTTTTTATTACTTTATAAATAATACCAATCAAAATTCCCACTTCCTCCCCTCTTCCCACTTCTCTCCGGGTCCCCCACCTCCCCCTTACCTTACCCCCTCCAGTCTTAAGAAGGCAAGGCACCCTGCCCTGTGGGAAGTCCAAGGCCCTCTCTCCCCTACATCCAGGCTTAGGAAGGTATGCATGCAAAGAGACTAGGATCCCAAAAAGTCAGTACATGCAGCAGAGACAAATCCCAGTGCCATTTTCATTGGCTTCTCAATCAGCCCCCATTGTCAGCCACATTCAGAGGGTCCAGTTTGATCCCATGCTTGTTCATTCCCAGTCCAGCTGGAGTTGATGAGCTCTCATTAGCTCAGGCACACTGCCTCAGTGGGTGGACCAACCCTTCGTGGTTCTGACTTCCTTGCTCATATTCTCCCTCCTTCTGCTCTTCAACTGGACCTTGGGAGCTCAGTCCAGTGCTCCCATGTGGGTCTCTGTCTCTATCTCCATCCATTGCTGGATGGAGGTTCTATGGTGATATTCAAGATAGTCATCAGTCTGACTACAGGACAAGGCCAGTTTGGGCACCCTCTCCTCCACTGTCCAGGGTCCTAGCTGGGGTCATCCCGTAGACTCCTGGGAACCCCTCCAGGGCCAAGCCACTTGCCAACCCCAACATGGCTCCCTCAATTAAGATATCTCTTTCCCTACTCCCATATTGTCCTTCCTCCATCTCAACTATCCCACTCCCCCAAGGTCTCCCTAACCCTCTCCTCCCTTCTCTCCCCTTCCCACTACTCCCTCCACCCCTAGGCTCCCAACTTTTGGAAACTGGAAGCAGACAAGATCATGGAGGCCCGGGGTCTTTACTTGACAGTGATATGGAAATGGAGGGATGGGGGTGGTTATTCTGCAAGTTAAATATTGCACATCTCAGTGGTGCAGTGCTTGGCTGGCATGCCTGAGGCCCTGGGTTCAATCTAAGCATAAAACAAAACAACAACCATTATTCAGAGGGCACTATGTTATTTATGGGAAGAGTCATGAAAAATTCCACTGGGTAATTTTGAAAGGACACTGCCAATGCTACTAGGTTAAAAAAAAAAAAAGTATCAACAATGTTTTACATGGTCTCACACAAGAAACTAAATATTTGACTTTATCTTTTAACTAATCTATACTCTCTATACAAATATCTGAAACTCAACAGATACCACCTGCAGGAACAACAACATTCAATGTACTAAAATCGTTCTCTAGTCAGCAACTACAAATCAATGGCTTTAAAATCAATGAAAGTCCACAGAAAATTGGGGTGCTATTGCACTTAACAAAAAGAATACTTTCTGACTTGCTTACTGCTTCAGATCTATAAAAATAGAATGTGTTATGCAACAAGAAGATGCGGGAATTTCCACTCGGTCTCAAAGGGCTCAAAGTGTTAAGTGTTATTGCTATAGGGGATTGCTGGGCCTAAAAGAATCACTATTCCCGAACATTACACACTTAGCATATGCAGTTGTATCTGTTCTGAGGCCTGTTGGGTATGCTTGGGACAGGAAAACATTAGGAAATCCTAAGAAACCAACCTGGCATGGCCCACCAACCTTGAGTCTAAGACAGCTTTCCAACGGCACAGGAGTGACAGCTTACACAGTGTCAAGCGTGGTTTAGATTATGAAATGTCACTGTCCTGTGAAGTGAAAGTTCTCTCTTTTATTCTGCTTAGTTAATCTCCACCTTAGCTCATCTTCACGCAACAAAAAGAATACTTTCTGATCTAAATCTATAAAACAGGCAGTGTTATGCAACAAGAAGATGTGGGAATTTCCATTCAGTGTTACTCATAAAAACTGAGATGTCTATAGACTTACAGATACTCTCTGGTACACCAGATTCTGCTGTCTTTTCTAATAAAGATGCTCCAGAAGTTTGTCTTTCTGTTCTTCCCTTACTTGGGGATGCTGTCCCATATCCCCTGCATTTCCACCCACTGAGTCTTGTGAGCCACCCAAACAAGTTCATTTCTTCAGCAGTCTGGGGCCTTGGGTTGATACGCTGTTATCTCCTCCATGTGGAGGGGTAACTGATGCCAATCTGCCAGCTAATCAAGACAAAGACAAATGCACATCACAATGAGGAAGGGGACAGATTTGTGTAGATCAAGCTTATATTAAGTTAAATTATATTGAATATTGTATGCACGCATGCTTCTACCTCTGATTAAGATACTTATATATTGTTTATGTATTGATATATATATTTACCATACTGCAGTGTACATTTCTACCTCTGATCAAGATACTTGTGCACTGTTTACATTTAGAGATCACTGTCCTCATTTACTGCACAGCTGTTTATTGTCTTAGTCTTTAAGTTAGATAGGTATTAAGAATTATAGATCTATAGTCATCTATGTTTGCCATATTTATAGTTAGACTAATTGGGTTTTTTAGATACATAAAGATTATATTCTGTATAAATAGATAATCTTCAACCTCTTCAAAGAACTGTAGAAAATGGCATTTAATCTAACTTAGAGTTCTGTGATAGTGAGACACAATCGCTCCTGGCAACACTAATCTATTCCAGAGAGATTGTTGAGCATCAAAGACACTCCACTTGGAGCTTGTCTTCTTCTTGGCAAAACTGGCCTCTGAGCAAGGAACTCCCCATACCTCAACTACTGACAAAATACATAGTATCTGGAAATGGATAAGCAGAACTGTCAAATCTTGCCAAGACAGAGTATGACGGTTTTGAAAAAGTTCTTGCCTTTAAAAATAATCTGTCAGCTGGGCGGTGGTGGCGCACCCCTTTAATCCCAGCACTTGGGAGGCAGAGGCAGGTGGATCTCTGTGAGTTCGAGACCAGCCTGGTCTACAAGAGCTAGTTCCAGGACAGGCTCCAAAACCACAGAGAAACCCTCTCTCCAAAACCCCTCCCCAAAAAAAATCTGTCAGTTATTCTAGGCCTTAGCCAAAGTTGGTTGCTTCAACGCTGCAAATGTGACTTTAGCTGATTGCCCAGGTAGCCAGTTGTCTCTGTGATTTGCTGCATGTTTTGGAAGTTGTTTGACTGCACTTCCTAATTACTCAGGTAACATTATTTCCCTTCTCAGATCTTTGATGGGGTTGAAGACTAGATAAATGTAGCTACTTTCCTCTCATGACTTGTCCAAGTTATTTATTATACAAGACTTAAGCTACTTAGAATAGGTTATTTGTTCTTATTGTATATAATTTTATAGTGGGTTTAGAACTCTCTTAAACAAAATGGGGAGGTGCTGCGGGAGCTCCTTCCGCTCCTTCAGCCAATAGCCTTTAAGATACCAGCCCACTTGGGCGTCGTCTCTCTGGCTTAAAAAAGCAGCAGTAGCTGGGCGCTGGCTATCAGAAGCTTTTCCTGGTCGTGCAGGGGGCTGTTGTCTAGGATGGTGATCTGTAAGTTTTTTCCCTTTAAATAAATAACCCTTTTATTGACCATAATTCTAAACTGGTGTGGGATTATTTTGTGACTTACTCCTTTAGGTGTGTTGCCTACCGCTCATAATATTAGCAATTAAAAAAAAGCCCAGTCCCTGTGACAATGTATGTATTCCCTTTTTACTTTGTGC